AGGAAATCTTAGGTTCTAACATCACATCCCTGTTACTGAGTGAAGCTATGATTCAGAATCCAGCTTTGTCTGATGGTAAAGTCTGTGCTCCTAGATACTTGCCTGCACTTGGGAAGTTAGGAAAGAACCCAGCTGCTTTGTTTATTTAGCTTTCAAATTTTTTCTTTCCTTGGTTTTGCTGTATGTCTTAAAGGGCACTGACTTGGGTGTTAGCTGCTTTTTTAAACTTTGAACCTTGGCATTTGTTTATTGGCTTTATTCATTAGCTTTGCATATTAATAAAGTTAATTTGTCAGTTAAATTTGTTTAATTGGTTTTATTTATTAGCTGGCTACCACTTTAAAAAATTAAAACAGATGCAAATCAACAGGAAGGGAAAAAAATTAAAACAGTAACACATGCACTTAATAAATATCAGGTGATAGGTAAGTCTTTCACTCAGTTCTCCCAGCTTCCCAGCCCCAGCACCAAATCATCCCTGAAGAAGTAGAATTCCCATTAGGCTTAAGTACTTAAGTATGCATCCCAGGGAGCAGAGGGCCAGTCATTCCCACTTAAACCACTTCCAAGAGTGCTGTGAGGGCACTCCTCAATGGGAACTTAGCAGGAAGGAGCCAGCACTGGGGAAGTGCCTCACCAGCACTCAGACTCCAAGCCTGACATTTTTCTTGAGCTCTTGCTTATTATCTCTTGCCTACTCGGGTGTCCCACACCTCAAATCCAATGTACCAGATACTATCCTCAGCTCGTCCCTGCTTTAGACAACAACTCACCCAGTACTGGTAGCTTGAGAGGTATCCTAGGTACAACTGATCAGATTCTGCCATTTATTTTATTTATTGATTGATTTTGAGATGGAGTCTTGCTCTGTTGCCCAGGCTGGAGTGCAGTGTCATCATCTTGGCCCGCTGCAACCTCTGCCTCCTGTACTCAAGCAATTCTTCTGCCTCAGCCTCCCAAGTAGTTGGGATTACAGGCACCTGCCACCATGCCTGACTAATTTTTATATTTTTAGTAGACACCAGGTTTCACCATGTTGGCCAGGCTGGTCTTGAACTCCTGACCTCAGATGATCTGCCCACGTTGGCCTCCCAAAGTGCTGGGATTATAGGCATGAGCCACTGTACCCGGCCTATTTATTTTTCAACTCCTTTAGAGACAGGGTCTCCCTTTGTTGCAGTGCCATGGTGCAATCAGCTCACTGCAGCCTCTAATTCCCTGGCTCATATGGTCCTCCCACCCAGCCTCCCAGGTTCTGCCATTTTATTCCCAGAATCTCTTGCCAGTCCATCTCTCTTTATCCCAGGCTCCAAATATGGGACTAGCGGGGGCCATAGGCATGTGACACCACACTCAGCTATTTTTTAAGTTTTTTTTGTAGAGACAGGGTGTCACGATATTGCCCAGTCAGGTATCAAACTCCTGGCCTCAAATGAAAGTGTTGGGATTAACAAAACAGGCATGATCCACCATGCTGGGCCTCCCATGACTCTTTACAAAGTCCAGGCCTTATAAACTCTCCCACCCTCTGGATGTTTCCTCATAATCAGATTCAAGTTAAATGAGTTTAGCGAGGGTGCCTCAGAGGTGACACAACCTCATTGCTTCCCATCAGGGGCAGCATAGGTGGATTGGCCTGTTGTGTCATTGGTGATGCCGAGTGCGATACCTCTGCCTGGGTTGTACCAGTCTCCCTTAAAATAAGATGGTGAGCTCCTGGAGACAAACTATATGTTGTGAAACTGTACTCAGGCTCCAGGAATGCTTAACACAGAGTGGGTACTTCATTGTATGTGGAGCAATGAGTGCACTTGCTATTTGGGGGACACAGAAGACTGAAGCAGCTCCACTGGAGATATGGTGGGGATGGCTGGAGATAGGGCTGGGACCGGGTCATGACAGGCTTCACAAGCCACCGTTCCCCAGTGGGAATGGTGTGCAACAGAGGCACAGATCCTCAGAGGTGTTTTCAGCAGCTATTAAACACCATATGCATACAATTCCATTTACCCTGTTCTTGAATTCATGCATGCTTAATACTACATTTGGCCAGTTTGCTGCCTACTTATAGTGGCACAGAAGTCTCAAAAGAACATTTTGGCTGGGTGCAGTGGCTCATACCTGTCATCCCAGCACTTTGGGAGGCCAAGGTGGGCGGATCACCTGAGGTAGTAGTTCGGAACCAGGCTGACCAACATGGTGAAACCCTGTCCTACTAAAAAAAAATACAAAATTAGCCAGGCGTGGTGGCCCATGCCTGTAATCCCAGCTACTAAGGAGGCTGAGGCAGGAGAATCATTTGAACCCGGGAGGCAGAGGTTGCAGTGAGCCAAGATTGTGCCATTGCACTCCACCCTGGGCAACAAGAGTGAAACTCCCGTCTCAAAAAAAAAAAAAAAATTCTGATAAGCTCTTAGAGCAGAAAGAACAAAAAGGCTTTTGCTTTTGTTTGAACAACCAGACCCTAAACGGCCTTGGGGATGAATGATCTGTGTGTATGAGATTCAATAAATGTCCTCCCTCATTCTGGCTGCTTTGGGGCTTACAGTGGCTACTGGATGACATGAATGGGCCGTTTCACTGCAGGCGTCTGGTGAAGATAGTAGCAAAGCAGGCACTCAAGTGGCAGTACAGTCAGACTTTGTGATCTTAGGCAGACACAATCACAGACGCTTTTTCTGGCAAAATGTACAGCTGCCATGGGATTTTAAATAGAACAACTTGGGGACCATCGCCAAAATACCCCCAGTGTTAAACTACAGACGTTTAATCAAAGGAATGACACAGCCTGTTTATTCCCTATTGGATCACCAGTGCCTAGTTAAGTGCTCAAGTTTTTTTTTTTTTTTTTTTTAAAAGACGGGTTTCTTCATGTTGGTCAGGCTGGTCTTGAACTCCCAACCTCAGGTGATCTGCCCCACTCCCAAAGTGTTGGGATTACAGGTGTGAGTCACCATGCCTGGCCTCAAGCTATTGTTAAATAAATGCAGTTGTAAAAAACGAGGAAGTGCCTTATCCTCCAATTTGGCAGTTTTCCAAGATATGTTGCTAAGTATTGAAAAAAAGAAAAAAGGCCTAGTACAATGTATGATTTTTATGACTGAAAAGAATATGCTTTCTATTACCAAAAATAGTTTTAGTATATTTAAACTATATTTAGTATATTTAAACTAAAATTAGTTTTAGTATATTTCTATTACTGGGGGCCGGGCGCGGTGGCTCAAGCCTGTAATCCCAGCACTTTGGGAGGCCGAGGCGGGTGGATCACGAGGTCAAGAGATCGAGACCATCCTGGTCAACATGGTGAAACCCCATCTCTACTAAAACTACAAAAAATTAGCTGGGCATGGTGGCGCGTGCCTGTAATCCCAGCTACTCAAGAGGCTGAGGCAGGAGAATTGCCTGAACCCAGGAGGCGGAGGTTGCGGTGAGCCGAGATCACGCCATTGCACTCCAGCCTGGGTAACAAGAGCGAAACTCCGTCTCAATAAATAAATATTTCTATTACTGGGTCCAGGACCTCACACCTGTAATCCCAGCACTTTGGGAAGTGGAGGCAGCAGGATCTTTTGAGCCCAGGAGTTTGAGACCAGTCTGGGTAACACAGTGAGATCCCATCTCTACAACTAACTTTAAAAATTAGCAGTGGTTTGCCTACTTGGGAGGCTGAGGCAGGAGGATGGCCTAAGCCTGGGAGGTTGAGGAGGCTGTAGTGAACCATGATCATGCCACTGCATTCAAACTGGGTAACAGAGTGAATGTCTCAAAAGGAAAAGAGGTTTTCATTTGACCCAGCAATCCCATTAATGGTTATACATAAAGGAATATAAATCATTCTATACATTCTATAAAGGCACATGGATGCCTATGTTCATTGCACCATTATTCACAGTAGCAAAGACATGGAATCAACCTAAATGCCCATCAACTGTAAACTGGATTAAAAAAAAAAAAAAAGTGTGTAGGCTGGGCACAGTGGCTCTCACCTGTAAGCCTAGCACTTCAGGAGACCAAGGCAGGCAGATCACTTGAGGTCAGGAGTTTGAAACCAGCCTGGCCAACATGGTGAAACCCCGAAACCCCAGCTCTACTAAAAATAGAAAACAATATCTGGGTGCAGTGGCAGATACCTGTAATCCAGCTACTCAGGAGGCTGAGGCAGGAGAATTGCTTGAACCTGGGAGGTGGGGGTTGCAGTGAGCTGAAATCATGCCACTGCACTCCAGCCTGGCAACAAAGCAAGACTCCGTCTCAAAAAAAAAAAAAAAATGTGTACATGCATGCTCTCGCATGCACACACACCCACACACCCCCCATGGAATACTATGCAGCTATAAACAAGAATGAGATCATGTCCTTTGCAGCAACATGGATGCAGCTGTATCCTAAATGAACACAGGAACAGAAAACCAAATACCATGTTCTCACTTGTAAGTGGGAGCAAAACATTGAGCAAACATGGCAGAAGGGAACAAGAGGCACTGGGGCTTCCTGGAGGGTGAGCAGAGGATGAGGATCCAAAAAATATCCATCGGGGCTGGGTGCTATGGCTCATGCCTGAAATCCCAGCACTTTGGGAGGATGAGATGGGCGGATCACCTGAGGTTAGGAGTTCAAGATCAGCCTGGCCAACATGGTGAAACCCTGTCTCAACTAAAAATACAGAAAATCAGCTGGGTGTGGTAGTGGGTGCTGTAATCTCATCTCAGCTATTTGGGAGGCTGAGGCAGGACAGTCACTTGGACTTGGGACGTGAGGGTTGCATTGAACTGAGATTATGCCACTGCATTCCACCTGGGCAACAAGAGTGAAACTCCATCTCAAAAAACCCATCGGGTACTATACCTATTACCTGGGTGATAAAATAATCTGTACACCAAACCCCATGACACACAATTTACCTGTAACAAACCTGCACATGTACCCTTGAACCTAAATGCTGAAAAAAAATATATATATATATAATCCATTAGATTCTCTGCTGGCTGAGGGCCCCTCACCTTAGTTCCTCTGCCCTGAAGACACTTCTTACTATAGGCTTACTACAGGACTTTGGTTCCTCTTCCCCCCCAATACTAGAAACATCAGTAAGAGAGCAATTATTTTGATGTAACTCTCAAACTAAACCTCATCAAGAGCTAGGCAATTCGTACATGTTATTTACATCAACCCCAAGGAATCAACACAGTGCTAAGAGTAAAGGGCGGAACTGATATTCAATGTGTGACAAAGGGACACAATGTCAAACTGACCTTCCAGGAGGAAAGAGAGCCTCCATTCTCCAGAACTGTTAAATTCTATTAATTTGGAAAGGGATCTTTAGGACAGGGATGAAAAAGTAGTCCCACATGCTGTTATCAGCTGACACATCTGATAATAAGCTAATGAAAACTAAAAAAAAATTTTCTGAAACAAAAAGTCTTTTTCCATGAATGTATTTACTCCTGACACGAAGGAGGGGAGAGAGCCTTACTTCAAGTACACTGCTGGAGAACCCACTGTTTTTGACGTACATGAATACCAATGACAAATGAGACAGGCCTTTACAGATATTAAGCAATGGCAATAAAAAAAGCACTTTATAGACATCACTGAAAAACTGAAGACTGAGGAAAATGTTGGTTTTATAGATTTATTTTCAAAGAGAAAAACACTCACACAATTTAAATACAAGTCCCTCCGAATTACTCTGTCAGAGCCAGCAATAATGCCGAACTGTGTCCTCACTGCCATTCATCAGTATCATCTGTGTCCTCTCTCACCAAAGCTAAAGGGTCTGGAAAAGACAAAGGAAGTTCAGTGTTATTTTTGGTGTATTCTTACTAATGGTAAGTGACATCTTTCAGGTGCTAAAAATGCAGCATCTGGCTGACCACAGTGGCTCATGTCTGTAATCTCAGCACTTTGGGAGGCCAAGGTGGGCAGATCACCTGAGGTCAGAAGTTCAAGACCAGCCTTGCCAACATGGTGACACTCCATTTCTACTAAAAATACAAAAATTAGCTGGGTGTGGTGGTACACGCCTGTAATCCCAGCTATTCAGGAGGCTGAGGCAGGAGAACTGCTTGAACCCAGGAGGCAGAGGTTGCAGTGAACCAAGATCATGTCACTGCGCTTCAGCCTGGGCAACAGAACAAGATTCCGTCTTTAAAAAATAAAAAAGCAGTCACTAAAAGCTAAAGACACTAATACAATGTTTTAATTCAAAAAGTCTTAATTGATTATTCTAGAACCCAAATAACAAGAGCTACTATTTACTGAGAGGCTTCTTTACATCATTGTATTAAGCTATATACATACTGTCTTCAATTTTGCCTTCACAAAAGCCCCAAGTAGGTCCTGTCATTACCCCCAGATTATGTATGAGGAAACAGGCTTACAGAGCTAAGCAGCCTACCTGGGACCACCAGCCTTACAGAGTGTGGCAGGGCTGAGAATAAACTTGGATGTCTCTGACTCCACAGTCCATCCTCTTACCTGTCAGGCCTCTCTTGCCTAAGAGCCAGGTCACCTCAGTGTCTTACCCAGCAGGCTGGGCTTGCTTTGAGTAATTGAGGGAGACAGAGGTTTCCAGGTTACCCTGCTCAGTACTTTGTATAAGACTCTGCTTTTGTTAGAAGAGCTGACAATCAAGGGAGTCCTGTCTAGGAATGACAGCTCTCAACCTCTCAAAGATAAAGATCACCACCTGGGCTGGGCCCCTTTGAGTGGCAGACAACAGAAAAGGGATTGCATTTTGTAAGTAGTGAAAAGTCTCTGTCAAGCATTTCCATTTTCTATTTCTTCTTGAGTTTCCTTTATTGAAGAACCACTGACAGATTAAACCTATGGGTGAACACCATTTTTATAAGTCTAATTATTTACCTGATACTTTATTCATATACATCCTTCTTATCTGCAATGTAATCTACAATTTCTTGTGGACACATTAACTTTTCCGCATCTAAATCAGGAATTTCAAACCCTAAAAGAAAAATATACAATGTGAGAGAGAAAAAAAAAAAAAAATCCTTTAGAACGGAAAGCACCTGACCCTTCTACAACAAGTATATAAAAAAATTCAGCAACCTTGAATCCCGTTTAGGTGGTGGGCCAGTTAGGTTCTAGACAGTGTGCATACAGGTTGGGTACCATGTTTCAGAGGTATGTATGTTTGTCTGAGATAGAATTCACATAATAGGAAATTCCTCTCTGTATATATATATATATGTAGTTTTTAGCATGTTCACAACATTGTGCAGCCATCACTACTGTCTAATTCTAGAACATTTCATCACCCGAAAAGAAACCCAGTGCCCATCAGCAGTCCCTCCCCATCCTCCCTACCCCTGGCAACCACCAGTCTACTTTCTGTCTCTGGATCTGCCTCTTCCTGACATTTCACGTAAACGGTATATAACTCTGTGTCTGGCTTCTTTCACTCAGCACATTCTCAAGGTTCACTGTGTTGTAACACGTCACACATGCATCTTTTTTATGATTGTTGGTTTTTTATAAACGGCTGGGTTTTTGATAGTTAGCTTACTTTGGGCCAAACACTGTGCTGAGCATTTTACACATAACCTCTGATTCCCCAGCAGTCCAAATCCTGGGGTTCCTACTATGATCACCCCCACTTTACAGCTGAGGAAACAGGCTTTGAGAGATAGTTACATATCCAGGCTCATACCTAACTAAGCTCAATTCTAGACCTGGTACTCAAACACTAGGCAAAGGATTCCATCCTAGTCAGCACCATCTGTGAGGAATGTTAACTAGGCCCTGCTCTGTAGAAGAGCACAGAAGTCCCTTGATTTCCTATTCAACCAATTCATCCAGAAACAGCCAGGGAGCCTTATAAAGGTCTCACTTGCACAACACACAGTCCCAAACTTGGAGTGTGCATGTAAGCCATGATAGGAGACCAAGGCCAGAGGGCTCTGGGTGCGTCTCTTGTTCGGGCACACCTCATTACAGCTAGTGCTCGACTTACGACCACAATTGGTTCCGACAGACCGGTCGTAACACGATTTGGTCGTAAGTTGAGTGGGCTATATGCACGCAGAGATGGCAATGCTGCCGGAAGCTGGTCCACACTGTCGTACGCCCAGCTGGGCAACATTTGCGCTGCCAGACGTGGAGCAGTCGTGGCTAGCGATTGTGGTCGTAAAGTCGAACGATCGTAAGTTGCATAGGTAGTAAGTCGATCAATACCTGTACTTCCATCTGGCTTGTGTTACCCAAGCTCATGAGGGGCTGACGTGTCATCAGCAGGTGTTCCAGGGAGGCTTTTGCCCTGGACTCAGTCCCCTGGAACCCTCTCTAGTCATTTCGCTCTTGGGACCACACTGGGCACTCTGCTGGGCTTGTGCTAAGTGCTTTCTGAATAAATGCACCATCCCTAAGGCTTACTTCACCTGATGGTAAGTGGGCAGGAAGGTGTGTGGGTAGGGCAGTGGAAGCTACTGTTTCTATTAATACTTAATTCTAATTCCAATTCAGACTCCCAGCATTTCTTTCAGTTTAATCCACCGAAATAAAAAATCACAGTATGTAGATACGAGACTGAGCCTGCGTGCATTACCAAATTCGTCTTCCATGGCCATGATAATCTCCACTTGGTCCAAACTGTCTAAGCCCAGGTCTTTCATAAAATGAGAATTTACGGAAAGCTGCAAGAAAGGAGCACCAAACACACAATTTAGCCCATGAATGCATTTGCTTCCCAAGGTAACAGGGTGGTACAATGCCACTTAATCACGATATCCAATTTTTTTTAATAAACAGAGGCCATAACTGACATTATATACGTAACCTGTGCTGGTATGTACATGGTTTGCTTTATCATATTCAACTTTGTTTTGAAGTGGTGAACAATATATACACAGCTAATGAAGGATTTCACTGAATATGGGTTTTTTTTTTTTTTTTGCTTTTTTTGAGACAGAGTCTTGCTCTGTCCCAGGCTGGAGCACAATGGCATGATCTTGGCTCATTGCAACCTTGGCCTCCTGGGTTTAAGTGATTCTTGTGCCTCAGCCTGCTGAGTAGCTGGGACTATGGGCACATGCCACCATGCCCAGCTAATTTTTTTGTATTTTTAGGAGAGACAGGGTTTTTTGGCCAGGCTGGTCCTGAACTCCTGACCTCGGGTGATCCGCCTTCCTTGGCCTCCCAAAATGCTGGCATTATAGGTGTGAGCCACCGCGCCCAGCCCAAACTGTATGTTTTGCTGAGATCTCTGATTATTGTTCTGAATGACATCAGAAGTTTGGGTATTTTTGCTGCCTTACTGACAACTAAGGCCTAGACCCCACACCTTAAGCGGCCTGCCTCAAAAACAGCAGACTACTATAAAATGCAGGCAGTTTCATGTTACAAAGTGTTTACTACCACCCTGCCTTTAATTTAGACCTCAGGATCACCAGGAATGATTCTTCAAAATCCCGTATCAAAAACAAACTACCCTACCTACACAACAGATTCAGTTTTTGTTGTTGCTGTTAGACAGTTTCACTCTGTCACCCAGGCTGAAGTACAATGGTGCGATCTTGGCTCACTGCAACCTCCACCTCCCAGGTTTAAGCAATTCTCCTGCCTCAGTCTCCTGAGCAGCTGGGATTACAAGCGACTGCCACCACACCTAGCTAATTTTTGTATTTTTAGTAGAGACAGGGTTTCACCATGTTGGCCAGGCTGGTCTTAAACTCCAGGCCTCAGGTGATCTGCCCGCCTTGGCTTCCCAAAGTGCTGGGATTACAGGCGTGAGCCATCGCACCCGGCCAGATTCAATTTTTAAAGAAGAAAATTTTAAAAACCTTCCATATCAGAAAAATTCCAAGTTAAAAATGCAAGGATCATTTACACTACACTGCCACCTGTGGGGTTTTTTTTTTTTTTTTTGAGACAGAGTCTCACTCAATTGCCCAGGCTGTAGTGCACTGGCACAACCTCAGCTCACTGCAACCTCCACCTCCTGGGTTCAAGTAATTCTCCTGTCTCAGCCTCCCCGGTAGCTGGGATTACAGGTGCACACCACCACATCCGGCTAATTTGTGTATTTTTAGTAGAGACAGGGTTTCACCATCTTGGCCAGTTCGTCTTGAACTCCTGACCTTGTGATCCACCCGCGGCGGCCTCCCAAAGTGCTGGGATTGATTATAGGTGTGAGCCACCGCACCCGAACCCACTTGTATTTTTAAAAAGGGTGAGATATACCTACATATAATATACACACATGTGTATACTTCTTAATATACACATTGAGTATTTCTGGAAACACACATGAAACTGGTAGCGCTGGCTGTCTCCCAGAATGAGCCTGGGTGGCTGGGAGCCAGGGAGATTTTTACTGAGTATCTTTCCCTTTGCATTTTGTACCATGTGATTAAATACTCTAAAGAAAAAAATTCAAACCACCATCAGTTACCTTCTCTGGGTCAATCTTGTCATAGAGTTTCAATACGTAAAGAACACGGTCCTCGATGCCCGCTAATGTCAACGGGGGTGCTTCGCAATACTGGCGGCACAACTGTGTAACTCTACTCGGAACCTGGAGAGAAGGCAGGAAGGAAACACTGTCACTGAACAAAAATGCCTCTAAATCAGTGCACAAATCTATAGGTAACTTTCACAAAACTTTTGGGACTTTAGGGAACCCACATCATCTGATTCTAATTGTGGCCATTAGGACACACCAAGTTGCAGAGCTTGGTAGTCGCAGAAGCCCTAACAGTTCAGCAGCATCTTAGGCCTCCTTCCCGGGAGTCAGGACTGGCCCCTCTGCCTCCTGGGTTCAACCCTCAGGCTCTGGACATTCATCCTGCTCTGTGACATTAACTGCCACTAAAATTGTCTAGTGCCTGCAGAAATGCCTATGTCTTCTCATGGCATCTTCAGCATCCTGAGGCCTCTATAGGGTGCTGCCACCTTTAATTGGCAGACCCAAGTCAAAATAACCCACAAGGAAACAGCTGTCATGGTAAACCCAAAGGCAATTCAAACTGAGGACCATACACCAGAAAGGTCTAGTTTGGCTCCAGCAGTTATCTCCCTAACTTCAGCCAGGACAAAGAAAGCTGGCCACCCAGCCAAAGAGGGGGATGAGGGAGCTTACAGTCATTACATTCCAATCTATTTCTCTTCCAGAGAGGCTTGCCTCATGGCCACCAGCCAGACCATGAGCCCTTCTGGCCTCTGCCATGTTAGAACAATATGTCACGTTATCTCTGGTATTAGTTGGCTCAGTGTTTAACTAGGTATTAGGGTCTTGACCAGATTTCATTCAACAAATGTGGAATGAGCTGCAATCACAGGTCGGGGCTTTAATGCTGTGGAAGGTACCCTGCAGAACAAGAGAAAACAAAATAGGTATCTGGCAGTTTTGCTCAGTACAGGAATCCCTAATCTAAGTTGGTCTGTTTACCTCCTGAAGTTGATTTTAAGTCCAAGGCTTGGAGTTCTTAAGGCATTTCCCTATTGAAAGTGGGGCTGTTTGTTAAGGCTCAGGTCCCCGACACTCACAAAGGTCTACGAAAAATCGTAATATACACTGCCCAGGGAACCAAACCAGTATAACCTCTATATAAGAAACATTAATCTTGCATAAAGAACAGGTATTAGGCCAGGTGTGGTATCTCACACCTGTAATCCCAGCACTTTGGGAGGCCAAGGTGGGCCAATCACTTGAGGCCAGGAGTTTGAGACCAGCCTGGCCAACATGGTGAAGCCCCATCTCTACTAAAAATACAAAAATTAGCCGGGTGTGGTGGTGCATGCCTCTATGAGCCCAGGAGTTCAAAGCTGCAGAGATGTGATCTTGCCACTGCACTCCAGTCTGGGTGACAAAAACCTTATCTCCAAAAAAAAAAAAAAAAAAGAAAAGAAATAAGACAAGGCATGAAAGTGCAGTGCCTTTCTATGTAAGAAGACATTAGCTCATGTTAGGAGATGGTACACAGATGACAGGTTCCGAGGCTACGAGGAAGGGCCTTAAGGGCCATAATAATGGCCTGCGACTTTGTCTTAATGGGAGATGAATGACACAGATAGAGCACAGCCCCGAGTCCATTACAGTCATACATTATCAGTCTGGTCCTGGTCCCAGTCCTGGAATAGCTAGTTTTTTTGTTTTGTTTTGTTTTTAACACAAGTGCTGTCTTCATATGGGTACCATACCCCACAGAACTGCTGGAAATTCTCTTTGTGCTCCAGCTGCTGGACAGTGTGGATTCAATACCTGCCTGGATCAAGTATAAGACTTCCAGGCTGCATTTTAGGTCACTGCCCTTGTTTGTTTGTTTTTTTCCCCCCTCCTACATTATATTTTATGTCACCTGGTATTTTTATACTCAAGAAAGCTGCCTTAGCTTCTTTTGGGAAAAAGGGTGTAAATGAATAACTAGTTGCTCTGGAGTTGGCATAGTGGATGGATGTGAGGAGGGGAAATTTCACTGCAGGGAATAGGTAGCATCAGCAATGGTCCAAATGAGATCAACAAGGGCTGGAGGTGGAGGCCTGGGATATACAGCAATAACAGAAACCAAGAGTGAAGAGGTAGTCCAAGGAGCGTGTGTGGTAAAAGAACTCTGGAGCCTATCAACATTTAAGAGTTAGGCACACCAGGTGTGATGGCTCATGCCTGTAATTCCAGCACTTGGGAAGCTGAGGCAGGAGGATCATTTAAGCCCAAGAGTTCACAACTAGCTTAGGCAACATAAGGAGATCCTGTCTTTACAAAAAAGGATAGACATCAAAAAATTAGCCAGGCGTGGTGGCACATGCCTGTAGTCCCAGTTACAAGGCTGAGGCGGGAGGACCACTTGAGTTCAGGAGGTCAAGGCTGTAGTGAGCCATGATCATGTCACTGCACTCCAGCCTGAAAGGCAAAGTGCCAACAAGGTAGGGGGACAAACCAACCAAGGGAGAACAGTGTCCCAACAGCTTAGCGAAGAAGACAGCAGCAGAGAAGGAGCCGGCAAGTTGGACATAAAGGCTACAAAGTGTTCAATAAAGATGTAAGCTAATGTCTTTCTTTTGTGTTCATCTCTGCATCTCTCAACGGTTAGCATAAGTTCTGGCACATAAGCTGGCCCTCAATATCTTTGAATGAACTTAGTCAAAACCACTTTGTAAATATAAATAAAATTATTTCTCTGCTGTATATGCAAGCCAAGCAGCCACAGTGGAACATTTCTGAGCTCATTGCTATTCAAAGCATGGTCCAAGGAACACCAGCAGCAGGATCTTCTGTAAGCCCACTGGAAGCGGAAGCTCTCTGACCCCTTCCCAGACCTGAATCAGAATCTGTATTTTAACCCAATCGATGAGAATCAGTACTGTGAGAACAAGGACAATCACTTCACATTTTAGCCTAAAGTTGAAAGCAATCTTAGGAACCAGACAATCATCAATTCTACCTACTGCCTTTTTTTACTTTTATTTTTTTTTTGAGACAGAGTCTTGCTGTGTCGCCCAGTCTAAAGTGCAGTGGTGTGATCTCAGCTCACAGCAACCTCTACCTCCCAATGTCAAGCAGTTCTCCTGCCTTGGCCTCCCAAGTAGCTGGGACTACAGGCATGCGCCATCATGCCCAGCTAATTTTTGTATTTTTAATAGAGACAGGGTTTCACCATGTTGGCCAGGATGGCTTCGATCTCTTAACCTTATGATTCACTCGCCTTGGCCTCTCAAAATGCTGAGATTACAGGCATGCGCCACCACGCCTGGCCTACCTACTGCTTTTTTAACCCTTAATTTCAAGGTGACACTTTTCATCTTTTGATACAGCCAATAGTGTGATGCCCAATGAATTAATCCATTAAATTATCAGTGAATATCAACACTGACTTCACAAAAGAAACACCTGATGACTTCTAAAAATAGTTACCTAGTATTCACCTCTAGATTCTGTCCATTTGGCCTGGGCTGGCTTATTTATTTATTTGTTTAAGATGATCTGCCTCCCAGGCTGGAGTGCAGTAGCACGATCTTGGCTCCCTAAAACCTCTGCCTCCTGGGTTCAAGCAAACCTCCCACCTTAGCCTCCCGAGTAGCTGGGACTAGTCAGGAGGCATGCGACACCATGCTCGGCTAATTTCTGTATTTTTGTAGAGACGGGGTCCCAACATGTTGCCCAGGCTGGTCTCAAAGGATCCACCCATTTCAGCCTCCCAAAGTGCTGGGATTATAGGCGTGAGCCACTGTGCCTGGCCAGACACACTTATTTTTCACACTAACATGCAGTCAAGGTTGAAACCACTATTATCTGAAGTCCATGACTTTGAAAAGGGGTTTCATAACCTGACCTTGGGAGTCTATCCTACCTTAAGATGGTTATTTTCATTCTTAACTGGACTTCAGAGTCACCTGGAGAATTTGGACAACAACAAGCCGGGTGCAGTGGCTCATACCTGTAATCCCAGCACTGGGAGGCCCAGGTGGGCGGATCACAAGATCAGGAGTTCGAGACCAGCCTGGCCAATATGATGAAACCCCGTGTCTACTAAAAATATAAAAACTACCCAGGCGTGGTGGTGGGTACTTGTAGTCCCGGCTGCTGGGAAGGCCGAGGCAGGATAATCGCTTGAACCCGGGAAGCGGAGGCTGCAGTGAGCCAAGATCGTGCCACTCCACTCCAGCCTGGGAGACAGATTGAGACGCCATCTCGAAAACAACAGCGACGACGATGACAACAGCAAAAGCCGTGCCAGGGCCTCATCCCAGAGGAATAGTTCAGGAGGAAGGGGGAGGAGCAAGTCTTTTTTTTTTTTTTTAAGTTACCCAGGTAATTCGAATCTGCAGCTAGGTTTGAAAATCACTGCCTCCTGGCGTTTCAGCCTCACGCAGATTTCATCAGCTTAAGCTATGTACTACAAGGTGCAGTCGTTCCTTGGTATTAACGCAGGAAATTGGTTCCAGAACCTCTGATTATAGCCAAATCCTCACACATTCACGTCCTGCAGTCAGCCTTGCAGAATCCGCTGATAGGAAGAGCTAACCTTCCTTACATGCGCGGCTGCACATCCCGTAAATACTGGCCGCGTTTGGTTGAAAAAATCTGCTTATAAGTGAACCCGCGCAATTCAAATCCTTATTGTTTAAACAACACCTGCTCTTGTTTTCTAGAATTACTTCCAGGAGTCCTGGACACTGGCAAAAAGTGGCCGCAGGGAAAAGTAAGAATATAACTGCAGGGAGAGAACTGCTCTAGAGAAGACCGTAGGCCAGTGTGGCTGCCTCTTTGCATGCTGTTACCATTACAACACGGTGACCACTATTTTGAGACCGCAGGAGGTGCTCTACCCGCATGAACTGATCTAATGCTCATTGCTACTCCGCAAGGTAGAGACCAGGATCCCAATTTTGCAGATGTGAGCGAGGATGGAAGACTCGTCCAAAGTTTCAGTAAGCGGCAGCCAGCACTGGAACCCAGAGGTGCTGGACCTGGGTTCCAGTCTCTGCTCTTGCGCGTTATTACGAGGTCACCCAGCCTCCTGACAGGGGTCAACTAAATACCGTTAGGCAGCGGGGCTGGGAGCGAGCTGGCTGCCCCCCTGGCCACCCCCGCCTGCAGCTCGCTCAGCCGGGATGCCCGGCCTCCACTTCCACCGGGGCCGATCCCTGACCCCTGCCAATCCCCAGCAAAGTCACCGCGAGTCACCTGCGCGAGCGCCGATGCTGGCTGCGAAGGCCCGGGCTTCGTCCGGGTCCCCGCGGAGCACAGAGCGGTGCTGAAAGGCTGGGCGGCGGCCAGCATGGAGACCCGGGGCAGCGGCGCGAAGGCCGCAGGCAGGCGGCGGACACAGGAGGAAAGGACACGAGACGCCATGGCTACGCCGACCCAGGATGCACTGCGCCCCGCCTCCGGCCCAGGATTCCTATCCCGCAGCGCACAGGCGACGCACAGAGCGGCGCTGTCGGGCAACGCCGACAGTAGCGGCCCCTGGCGGCTCCTGGAGGCACTGCGCCCTGAGAGCGCATCCATGTTCGCAGGCGAACATCGGCTTGGTACCAGAACTAAACTGTGCAGATGCCGCGTCTTTCCCTAAACACTGCTCATTGACACGAGAAAGCTATCACTTTTTCTCTGAAAGTTCTGAAATACATCTATTTAAACGTTAGGGGCCGGGCGCAGTGGCTCACGCCTTTAATCCTAGCACTTTGTGAGGCCAAGGCGGCAGGACTGCTTGAGCTCAGGAGTTCAAGAGCAATCTGGCCAACACACCAAGACTTCGTTTCTATTACAAAAAAGATTAAAAGAAGAGAAAAAGGTTTTGATTCCATGATTCTTCCACAGGTATTAACATTTATGGAGGCCGGGCACGGTGGCTCAGGCCTGTAATCCCAGCATTTTGGGAGGCTGAGGCGAGCGGATAACAAGGTCAGGAGTTTGAGATCAGTCTGGCCAACATAGTGAAACCCCATCTCAACTAAAAATATAAAAATTAGCCGGGCGTGGTGGTGGGCGCCTGTAGTCCCAGCTATTCTGAAGGCTGAAGAGGGAGCAGGCGGAGGTTGCAGTGAGTCGAGACTACAACATTACATTCCAGCCTGGGTGACTTGACTCTTGTTTTTTGACTCTGTCTTATATATACATATATATATATATGTATACACACACACATATATATGTGTGTATATATATATATATGTACGTATAAACAATAGGCAAAAAAAAAAATTTTCTTTTGAGACCTAGTCTCACTCTTTGCCCAGGCTGGAGTGCAATGGCGCCATTTCAGCTCACTGCAACCTCTGCCTCCCAGGTTCAAGTGATCCTCCTGCTTCAGCCTTCCAAGTAGCTGGGATTGTAGGCCCGTGTCACCATGCCTGGCTAATTTTGTATTTTTAGTAGAGATGGGGTTTCACCGTGTTGGCCAGGCTGGTCTCAAACTCCTGACCTCAGGTGATCCTCCGGGCTCAGCCTCCCAAAGTACTGGGATTACAGGCATGAGCCACTGCACCTGGCCAAAAATTTTTTAAATAAAATAAAAAATATATTCTAAGAATGTTAGGCAAATTAATACTTAGAGCTTGGGATAAAATTTCCAATGATTGGCTGAGTGCGGTAGCTCATGCCACTAATTCCAGCACTTTGGGAGGCCGAGGCAGGCAGATCACCTGAGGTCAGGAGTTCAAGACCAGCCTGGCCAACATGGTGAAACCCCATCTCTACTAAAAATACAAAAATTAGCCAGTTGTGGTGGCACATGCCTGTAGTCCCAGCTACCCAAGAGGCTGAGGCAGGAGAATCATTTGAACCCAGAAGATGGAGGTTGCAGTGGGCTGAGATTGCACCACTGCACTTCAGCCTGGGTGACAGAGCAAGACTTAGTCTCAAAAAAAATGTTTCCAATGATAACAACAGATTAGTACTTTAACAATTTCTTGCTAGGCGCAGTGGCTCATACCTGTAATCCCAGCACTTTGGGAGGCAGAGGTGGGAGGATCACAAGATCAGGCATTCCAGACTAGCCTGGCCAACATGGTAAAACCCCATCTCTATTAAAAATGCAAAAATTAGCTAGGCGTGGTGACATGTGCCTGTAATCCCAGCTACTCTGGAGGCTGAGCCAAGAGAACTGCTTGAACCCGGGAGGTAGAGGTTGCAGTGAGCTGAGACCGTGCCACTGCACTCCAGCCTGGGTGACACAGCAAGATTCTGTCTTGGTATAAAAAAAAAAAAATTCTCTCAAATCACTTAGGCAAAGGTGACTGACTCAAAAGTGACTCTATAGCTACTCAGGAGGATGAAGCAGGAGGGTAGCCTGAGGCCAGGAGTTCAGTATCAGCCTGGGCAACATAGTGAGACCCTGTCTCTTAAAAACAGAAAAATTAGCTGGCCATGGTGAAGTGCACCTGTAGTTCCAGTTACTCACGAGGCTGAGGCAAGAGGATTGCTTGATCCCAGGAGTTTGAGGCTATAGTGAGCTATGATTGCTCCACTGCACTCCAGCCTAGGTGACAGAGTGGCAGTGGCTCACACCTGTAATCCCAGAACTTTGGGAGGCCAAGGCAGGTGGATCACTTGAGGTCAGGAGTTCAAGACCAACCTGAGAGACCCTCTCACCAACATGGTGAGACCCTGTCTCTACTAAAAATACAAAAATTAGCTGGGTGTGGAAGTGGGCGCCTATAATCCCAGTTACTTGGGAGGCTGAGGCAGGAGAATCTCTTGAACCTGGGAGGCAGAGGTTGCAGTAAGCCAAGATCATGCCACTGCACGCCAGCCTGGGTGACAGAGTGAGGCTCCGTCTCAAAAAAAATTGACTCTAGTGATAATGCAGCACTGCCATGAAGGATGCGTGAGAGAATGAAAAAGAATAAGAGTATTCCTAAATTAGGATATTTTAATAGGTTTCATATTATTTTAGTATGCATGTAAAAATAAAGTATTACAAATAGCACAAAATATATATTGCATATTAGTGTAGTAAGTTAACTGAACTGAAATTTACACTTACTGGGCAAATGCTATTGATTAAATATCCTAGTTGTACAATAATTAGTTCTTGCTTCTGAAAGTGATCTTGAAATAATGGGAAACAATAATATGCCAAGCAGAATGTATAAAAATAAGTATTTATTGCCATTTGAAACTTTACGTACACCTTTAAAAGCACATGTGCAAATGTGAGGAATTACAAAAATCAACCTAAAGCCCTTTTTCTCAAAGTAAACATAAATGTACATCTAAGATCAATGGTACCACTATCATCAAAATAAAAAATAAGTCTGTCTGGACATATACAAGTAATTATTTTAAATGTCATTCAGACATTCTCCTTTATATTTAAAACTCCAAAAAATAACAAGAGGCCAAATATATCCAGAAAATTGTGTTTCTGCTTTACCCTAACTTATGAGTAGTGATATACAAATATATTTCCATCTTTTTGTCCAGCCAACAAATGAGAATCTGTACCTGACCATTTCACAAAAGACCAGTTTTGGTCAGAGACAGGTGGGAGGAGGGCAGTGCAGTGACCGAGAAGTAAATCCCAAATGGCAATTGTTCCAGAAGTCAAGATTGCTGCTGCACAATGATCTTTCACATCACCTTCCAGGAACCTGATAGCATACAAACAAGAAATAATTCAGATAACATATCCAAAAAATAAATTAAAAAACAAAAGGCCAAAACCATGTTCCCCAAACCAGCAACGGAACAAAAATCCCTGTAATTATGAATGCCTGCATTTGCAGTCTTAGAGGTCTACTGGCTACTGTGTTGCAGTTTTGGACAGAATCACATGTCCAGTTCCTGCCAGTCTCTCTGATGCATTTTGTACCACTTGAAGGCTGGCTCACAGTGGCCTTCCTTCCACCCTCCATCACTCTGGCCAAACTCAGTCCCAACTCAGTGTCACTGCTCTTGCCATTCTCTGTCCCTGGCAGGCTCTTGCCCTTAGTGAGTTCTTGTCATCATTCAGGCCTGTTAGGTCCATAGAAAGGTCACACCTAATCTGCTATCTGAAGCAGTGCACACAATACTGTAGTCTGTTCCATCTCTATGACATATCTGTTTTTATCTTCATTGTACTTTTCATTACTTGAGATTATCCTGTTTACATATTCAGTGAGTATCTCCCCCATAAAAGATGCCATCTATGAAGCAGAAACCTACCTGGTTGTCTTTTCAATTTAGACAAGGGCTCTGCAGTCAGCTACCTGGGTTTAAATTCTAACTCTGCAATGTAAGAGCTGTGCAACCCTGGGCAAGTTATTTAACTTTATCAGTACAACAGGGATAATTTTAAGAGCACATACTTCACAGGACTGTTGTGAGGTTAAACGAAACAGTTCCTATAAAACGCTTAGCATGGTGCCTGCCACATAGGAGGTGCTCAATAAAAATTAACTATTATTATTACTCACTGCTGTTATCACTGGTGCCTTGCAGAGTGCCTGGGGCATGGTCAGCTCTCAAAGAATATTATATGAATGAACTGCATGATACTTTTTATCCCTGGTTCCCACCCAACTTTGTGTACCTAACTGCTAACTTATCTTTGGAAACTCCCGAAGGCTTTCTTTCATAGTCTCTCCCCAACCCTCTACTGCCAATTAAGGTGCCTGCCGCTCCACTCTTGTGCTCTCAAACAGTGCAAGCTTCACATATTGCACTTTGTGCACTGAACAATAGTCACTAGTTTTCAACGAAATTACAAAGTGTTTTGCTTGTTTGTTTGTTTTTGGAGACAAAGTCTTGCTCTGTTGCCCAGGCTGGAGTGCAATGGCGAGATCTCAGCTCACTGCAACCTCTGCCTCCTGGGATAAATCAATTCTCCTGCCTCAGCTTCCCCAGTAGTTGAGATTACAGGTGCACACCACCATACCGAGCTAATTTTTGTATTTTTTTTTTTTTTTTTAATTGAGACGGAGTTTCGCTCTTGTTACCCAGGCTGGAGTGCAATGGCGGGATCTCGGCTCACCGCAACCTCTGCCTCCTGGGTTCAGGCAATTCTCCTGCCTCAGCCTTCTGAGTAGCTGGGATTACAGGCACGCGCCACCATGCCCAGCTAATGTTTTGTATTTTCAGTAGAGACGGGGTTTCACCATGTTGACCAGGATGGTCTCGATCTCTTGACCTCGTGATCCACCCGCCTCAGCCTCCCAAAGTGCTGGGATTACAGGTTTGAGCCACCGCGCCCGGCTTAATTTTTGTATTTTTAATGGAGACAGGTTTCACCATGTTGGCCAGGTTGGTTTCAAACTCATGACCTCAAATGATCCATCTGCCTCGGCCTCGCAAAGTGCTGGGGTTACAGGTATGAGCCACCACGCCCAGCCAGAAATAGCAGTGTTTTGCTATGGTCTGAATGCTTGTGTCCCCCCCAAATTAATCTGTTGAAACCTAATCACCATGTGATAGTATTAGGAGGTGAGGCCTTTGAGAAGTGATTGGTGGTCTTGTAAAGGAGGCCCCAGAGAGCTGCCTTCTACCATGTGAGGACACAGTGAAAAGGTGCCATCTATGAACCAGGAAATGGGCCCTCACCAGACACTGAATCTGCCAGCATCTTGATCTTGGACTTCCCAGCCTACGTTATGGTAAGAAATAAACTTTGTTGTTTACAGGCTACCCAGCCTGTGGTAGTTTGTTGTAGCAGCCTGATAGGACTAAGATATGTTTCCTGCAGGATTGGTACCAAATAGGCTTTCAAGGATTCCTGAACAGATGAGTTTGAAAAGTCATAAAGGAAATGCTTGACCAAGCAGTTGTCTTTATCTTTAATCTCTAGGCCAATGACTATGGTTCTCTCTTCAAATCCAACAAAGCAAGTTTTATATGAAAGCATATACTGCAGATGATAGTTCTGAGGTTCTTAGGTTCTTAAAAAAAAATTTAGACAAGCAAGGTTGAATGTGGGAGGATGGCTTGAACCTAGGAGGCAGACTTGCAGTAAACTGAGATCGTGCCACTGCACTCTAGCCTGGGCAACAGAGCAAGACCCTGCGGAAGTGCCACAGCTATGCATAGGGATAATGTCTTTTAGAATATGCACTTATCAAATTAGCTTTGCATAAGGTCCAGAAAACATGCATGGTGTCTGTCAAGGTTCCTTATCCTTGTGAGTTATTAAAGCCAGACTTTGTTTTCTTGATTTACTGGGTCTGGTTTCAATCCTTGCTGCTAATTTCAAACTTTAATAAAATAAAGGCAATTTTTAGGAATTATATGTTCAGATGTTGCCTGGTTGACCTAAGAATAATAGCACTACTTCAAAGCTCTATACAGCTCAGAAAACTCTTGGGATGCCAATAACTATGTCACTGGCATCAGTCAATAGATAGATAATTTTTTTATTTTTGAGATGGAGTCTTGCTCTGTTGCCCAGGCTAGAGTGCAGTGGTGCAATCTCGGCTCACTGCAACCTCTGCCTCCCAGTTCAAGCGACCCCAGCCTCCTGAATAGCTGGGATTACAGGTGCCTGCCACCGTGCCTAGCTAATTTTTATATTTTTAGTAGTGACGGGGTTTCACCATCTTGGCCAGGCTGGTCTTCAACTCCTGAGCTCGTGATCTGCCTGCCTCGGTCTCTCAAAGTACTGGGATTACAGGCGTGGGCTACCACATCGGGCCAGATAAACATTTATCTATAGATAAATATAAACTGCCTACATGATAGAGGCTCAGTCAAATTTCAAAGTAAAAATGTCTTCCTAAAGTACATTTAAAATTTCCTTAGTTTAGATTTTAGGGAAAGAACATAAATTATGTTTTTTAATATAGAACATTCATTACTCTTTGTATGAATTTTTTTTTTTTTTTGAGACAGGGTCTTGCTCTGTTGCCAGGCTTGAGTGCAGTGGCTTGATTTTAGCTCACTACAACTTCTGCTTCCCAGGTTCAAGGCATCCTCCTACCTCAGCCTCCCGAATAGCTGGAACTATGGGTGCATCCCAGCATGTTTGGCTAATTTTTTTTTTTTTTTTTTTTTTTTTTAATGTAGACTGGGTCTTGTTATGTTGTCCGAGTTGGTCTCAAACTCCTGGGCTCAAGCTCTCCTCCCATCTTGACTTCCCAAAGTGCTGGGATTACAGGCATGAGCCACAATGCCCTGCCAAAATATTTTCCTTAGAAGAAAAAAATGGGGCTTGAAAAAATACTATTAAAAACCTATCCAAACCCATACTAGTAGAGATCAAGATGCAGAGAATCTGGGGTTTGACTCAAGTCCACTAACCTTTAGCATACTTCTGAACATTCCTATTATAATCTATAGTATTTCATGTTTTCCATCTTTCTAAGTGACATAAAAATACCTAGTATTTGTGTTTGCACAATGACTTTCAGAATGTCCCACCCACTGAGTAGCAGTCATGGACACTTGCCTGCCAGCCTGCCCTTGAGGAAGGCAGTACAGCATCACACCCAGACTCAGGGTCGTCTTAGGGTTAATCGCAATCAGTTGAAACACAGGGCTTTCCAACGACTCACTCTCTTTGGTACAGGGATGACTCAGGACAATAAACAGAAGCCCCTAATTCAGGAGAAAAATAAATACCCAAATAGACTGTCAAGAGTATGTTGGGAAAAAGAAAGATCTGGCAGAGACAAAAACCAAACAATTAAAGCAATGATCAACAGGCTCTAAAGTACCCAGCATCTAACCACTGGCTTCATTTTTTTCCTGACAGCTAGAAACTGTTGAGATTATTACTGGACTGGACTTCTGGATTCTTCTTCAGAGACAGGACCTTGCTACGTTGCCCAGGCTGTTGTTGAACTCCTGGTCTCAAGGTATCCTCCCACCTCAGCCTCCCAAAGTGTTGGGATTACAGAAGGCAGCTACTGTGCTCAGCCAACTTCTAGCTTTAGCTTCTCATGCCTCAGGTTCCCAGCGTTTGTTTCAGCCAGTCTTGCCAGGCATGAATCTGATTCATCAGTTTCCTTCCCCTTAGATAGTACTACATTTCATGCCATTCATTTGGGGAAATACTGTCAAAGAGAGAAAGAGGACATACTTGTGCAGGGAGTGTTCAAATTAGAAATATTCATTTGTAAATTGGTCTTTGAAAATTAAGAACATGTTTTTCCATAAAAACAATCTTGCAGGCAGGGCGTGGTGGCTCACGCCTGTAATCTCAGCACTTTGGGAGGCTGAGGTGGGCGGACTGCCTGAGCTCAGGAGTTCACAACCAGCTTGGGCAACACACTGAAATATCATCTCTACTAAAATACAAAAAATTAGCCGGGCATGGCAGCATGCACCTGTAGTCCCAGCTACTTGGGAGGCTGAGGCAAGAGAATTGCTTGAATCCAGGAGGCGGAGGTTCCAGTGAGCCAAGATTGTGCCATTGCACTCCAGCCTGGATGACAGAGTGAGACTCCATCACAAAAAAAAGAAACGAATCTTGTATGTGGTGCCTGGTTTCTTAGGCTAGCCCATAATAGCCTATTTAAAACCCTGACACTACTACTCTCTATTAAGATTAAGGGTGACAAAAAAAAGATACCAGCACCTATGGTTGTTTCTGTGGGAAAATGTGTTTAAGTTCTCTCCTGGCTTTAAAATTACAGGTTCTAATAATAATATTAGTGTGCATATATATATATATATATACACATATATACGGATATATGTTATAGGTGGAAAGTACTTCTCTTTAAATGTAAGATGGGGAAAATTAGCCAGGTGTGGTGGCACATGTCACATGTCTGTAATCCCAGATACCTGGGATGCTGAGTGCGGAGGATTGAATTGTTTGGGGCTTGGAGTTTGAGACCAGCCTGGGCAACCTAATAAGACCTTGTCTCAACAAAAAAAAAAAAAAAAAAAAAAAAAAAAAAAAGCAGGGGACAAAATTAAACAAGAGGGCCATTTTAGAATTAGAAAGTAGTACTTTCTACTTTATAAATTTCTAGAATGATTGAATTTTTTTTTTTTGAGACAAAGTCTCACTCTGTCACCAGGCTAGAGTGTGGTGACGCAATCTTGGCTCACTGCAGCAGGGTATCACAACCTCCGATTCCCTGGTTCAAGCTATTCTCTTGCCTCAGCCTCCCGAGTAACTGGGATTACAGGCACACAGCACCACGCCCAGCTAATTTTTGCATTTTTCTTAGAGATGGGGTTACACCATGTTGGCCAGGATGGTCTCGATTTCCTAACCTAAGTGATCTGCCCGCCTTGGCCTCCCAAAGTGCTAGGATTACTGGCGTGAGCCACTGTGCCTGGCTGAATGATTGTATTAATGAAAATAATTTTTTTCTTTTTGAGATGAAGTCTCACTCTGTCGCCCAGGCTGGAATGCAGTGGCCTGGTCTTGGCTCACTGCAACCTCCACCTCCCGGGTTCAAGCGATTCTCCCACCTCAGCCTCCTGAGTAGCTGGGATTACAGGTGTACGCCACCACGTCTGGCTAATTTTTGTAGTTTTAGTAGAGATGGGGTTTCACCATGTTGGTCAGGCTGGTCTCGAACTCCTGACCTCATGATCTGCCCACCTCGGCCTCCAAAAGTGCTGAGATTACAGGCGTGAGCCACCGTGCCCGGCTGAAAATAAAATATTTTTATATTTAGAAAACAACTGAGGTGACTCAGGAGGCTGAGGCAGTTTAGCTTGAGACCAGGAGCTCAAGACCAGCCTAGGCAATATAGTTGAAGACTTCATCCTCTAAGTTAGCTGGGTGGTGTGGCTCATGCTATGTAATTCCATCAACTTGGCAGGCTGAGTGTGGAGGATTGCTTGAGCCCAGGAACTCAAGGCTATAGTGAGCTATGATTGTACCACTGCACTACAGCCTGAATGACAGAGTGAGACCCTATCTATAAAAGGAAAAACAACTGAGGATTTAAAAATGTTAAATGCTATACAGTTAAGAAGAGGCTGACAAACTATGGCTGACCGGGTTAATCTAGCCCAACACTTTTTTTTGGGACAGGGTCTCACTGTCACCTAGGCTGGAGTGCAGTGGCATAATCAGCTCACTGCGGCCTTGAATTCCTGGCCTCAGGCAATCCTCCCTCCTTGGCCTCCCAAAGCACTGGAATTACAGCTGTAAGCCACCATGCCTGGCCCCAATACTTATTTTTCCATGGCCAATAAGCTAAGAATGTTTTCCAAATTTTGAAATGGCTAAAAAACATCAGAATAACAACATTTTGTGACATGTGAAAATTAATATATGAACTTCAAGTTTCAGTCTCCATAAAGTTTTATTAGAACATAGCTACACCTATCCATTTATATACTGTCTGTGGCTGATTTGGGGCCACAATGGCAGAGCTGGGTATAACAGAGATTGCAAAGCCAGCACAACTGAAAATATTTGCTTTCTGGTCCTATATGGAAAACATTTGCCAGTCCCTGCACTAAACAGTGAAATACATAATAAATTATTTAATAAATTATTTTTGAAGATTGGCTTTATGGGGGACTTTTACTATCTTATGCATATCTATGTTAAATTTTTTAGTATCAAGTGGTTATTAATGTTGTAATAGAAAAGGTATAACATATTTAAATGCTTAATAAGTAAATACTAGAGATGAATTCAACTGTCAGTCTATCTATCTATTTTTTTTTTTTTTTGACATGGAGTTTTGCTCGTTTCCCACGCTGGAGTGCAGTAGCGCAATCTTGGCTCAATGCAACCTCTGCCTCCTGGGTTCAAGCAATTCTTCTGCCTTAGCCTCCCTAGTAGCTGGGACTACAGGTGTGCACCACCATACCTGGCTAAAATTTTTGTATTTTTAGTAGAGACAGGGTTTCACCACATTGGATGGTCTCGAACTCCTGACCTTAGGTGATCTGCCTGCTTTGACCTCTCAAAGTATTGGGATTACAGGTGTAAGCCACCACATCTGGCCTATTAGTTATTTTTGAGACAGAGTCTCACTGTATCACCCAGGCTAGAGTACAGTGGTGCCATCATGGCTGACTGCAGCCTCAATCTTCTGGGCGCCAGTGATCCTTTCACTTCAACTTCCTGAGAAGCTAGTATTACAGGCTGTGCCACACTTGGCCACAACTGTCTTAAAGGAAGAGAAAGGTTTGGCTCAAAATTATGTGATGGATTATCTAAGATCACACAACTTTTGGGTTCAATTCCACATATCCTACTAGGCTAGGGAAAGATTCAGTCTTTGTGTTCAAAGCCTCTGGGTGCTGTTCCTCTCACTGTAATCACCAAAACCAAGCAAGTCTCTAAACAAATGCTGAGCCTGCTGCTATTATCTCTGCTCACAGCTTCAACAGTAAATACTCAAGTAGTTATTCATTACTTCTAGACAACTACTTTTCCACTGTAACTACACTGTGAGTCAAGGCTTTTTTTTTTTTTTTTGAGATGGAGGCTCACTCTTGTTGCCCAGGCTAGAGTGTAGTGGCACACCCTTGGCTCACTGCAACATCCACCTCCCGGTTCAGGTGATTCTCCCTGCCTCAGCCTCCTTGGTAGCTGGGACTACAGGTGCCCGACACCATGCCCTGTATAATCATTCTTCCTAAGGCCACTCAATCACTTACGGCAATGTGGTTGGGAATCAAGTCTGATTACAGGCCTAATAGTTCTCAGTTCAAATCCACAGCTAAAAATAAACATTTGCCCTCAGGTCCTACAGCTAATTTTTGTATTTTTAGTAGAGACAGGGTTTCACCATGTTGGCCAGGCTGGTCTCGAACTCCTGACCTCAGGTGATCCACCCACCTCAGCCTCTCAAAGTGTTGAGATTACAGGTATGAGCCACCGTGCCCAGCCAAGATAGTCTCCCTAGTAGCTGGGACTACAGGTGCATGCCACCATGCCTTGCTAATTTTGTATTTTTTATAGACAGTGGTTTTGCCATGTTGCCCAGGCTAAGGCTTTTTTTAATTGATAGAAAATATTTTATATATTTATGAGGTACATGATTTTTTACAGGCACAGAGTATATAATGATCAAGGCAGGGTATTTAGGGTATGCATCACCTCAAGAGTCTATCATTTCTATGTATTGGGAACATTTCAAATCCTTTCTTCTAGCTACTTTGAAATATGTAGTACATTGTTGCTAACTACAGTCATCCTACTCTGTTACTGAATATTAGAGATTATTTCTTCTTTCTTTTTTTTTTTTTTTTTTGAGATGGAGTCTTGCTCTATCACCAGGCTGGAGTGCTGTGGCATGATCTCGGCTCACTGCAACCTCTGCCTCCCAGATTCAAGCGATTCCCCTGCCTCAGCCTCCCAAGTAGCTGGGACTACAGGCATGCACCACCATGCACAGCTAATTTTTTGTATTTTAGTAGAGATGGGATTTCACCATGTTGGCCAGGATAGTCTCAATTTCCTGACCTCGTGATCTGCCCACTCCGGCCTCCCAAATGCTGGGATTATACGCGTGAGGCACCCTACCCAGCCTATTTCTTCTTTCTAACTGTATGTTTGTACCCACTAGCCAAGACTATTAGCACAACAGCTGAGTAACTGTATTTGTTTCTATATGAGACTAAAGCCTAAGAGTAAAGCATGTTGGCCAGGCACTGTGGCTCACGCCTGTAATCCCAGCACTTTGGGAGGCTGAGGCAGGCAGATCACTTGAGGTCAGGAGTTCGAGACCAGCCTGGCCAACATGGCAAAACCCCGTCTCTACAAAAAATACAGAAATTAGCTGGGGATGGTGGTGGGCACCTGTAGAATTGATTGAACCTGGGAGGTGGAGGTTACAGTAAGCTGAGATAGTGCCATTGCATTCAAGCCTGGGCAACAAGAGCGAAACTCCATCTCAAAAAAAAGCATTTCTGAGATCATTAAATCATCTTTCCTAAAGCTACTCAATCACTTATGGCAATGTGGTTGGCAGTCAAGTCTGATAACAGGCATAACAGTTCTCAGTTCAAATCCACAGCTAGATATAAATATTTGCCCTCAGGTCCTACAGCCAGAAAATTTACCAACCAATTGCTATATCAACACTTATTTTCATCCATAATTTTCAAGAAAAAACAAACATTGCTATCCAATTTTGAAAAAAAATAGGCAACAGGGAAGGTTTGTTCACTACTACCTCTGACTTACTACTCTCACTTAATGGGACCAACAGTAACACACAAAGTAAACACAAAGTGGTCCCAGCCGATCTTTACTTACCATTTCAGAATAGGCTTTGTGACAGACTGAAGCTTGGTAAGAATCATCAATGTGCATCTTTCTCAGGAGTTGACCAGTTTTTAAATTCCTTAGATAACAAAAGCAAATAAGCTGATCGCATTCTTCCAACAAACCGGTTTTCAGGTAATGTTTTCTTATTCATCATAGCATCTTTTAGGAGGTGATCAAGGAAAAAAACTAAGGGTTCCTTCGTTTTCTTTAGTTGTAGATTTAGGTAAAAGGACTGTGGGTTAACTTTGCCAATAGTTTAATTTGATAGGTCAGCCTTATCTACTCTGCCCCTAGGGATAAATCTCTCCAAATTCTATGCGAAAAGTTTGTCATTATTTCATTCAACCCGGTATTGAAATCAGGAACATGGTATAGCACTATCATGATTTTGTGACACTTCTTGTTACCTCTAAATTTTCCAAGGATGACAATGGCCAGGGAACCAAATTTGGTAGGGCAAGAGACTACGCCTAAAAGAGACTTATAATTATGTCTCTATTACATGTATTTATACTACAGCTAGACCAAAATAAGTGATAGAAGGAAGGACTGAGGTGGGGTAGGGAGAGAAGGGTGAATATAAAGAAGAAAAAAAAGATAACATTTGTTGGAATCACTCCCTAGCTTTTTTTTTTTTTTTTTTGAGACAGAGTCTTACTCTGTCACCTAGGCTGGAGTGCAGCGGCACCATCTTGGCTCACTGCAATCTCTGCCTCCTCAATTCCAGTGATTCTCAGACCTCAGTCTCCCGAGTAGCTGGGATTACAGGCACCCACCACTATGCCCGGCTAATACAGGTGGGGTTTCACTAGGTTGGCCAGGCTGGTCTTGAACTCCTGACCACAGGTGATCCTCCTGCCTCGGCCTCCCAAAGTGCTGGGATTACAGGCATGAGGCACTGTGTCCAACCTGCTCCCTCAGCTTTACTGAGGATTTGTGACATTGATAACTGCTCTGTTATGATACTCTGTTTTTTGTTTTTGGAGCTAAGGTCTTGCTCCGTTGCCCAGGCTGGAGTGCAGTGCCGTGCCATGATCATGACTCACCATAACCTCAACATCCTGGACTCAAGTGATCCTCCCACCTCACTGCCCCAAGTAGTTGGGACTACAGGTGTGTGCCACCTTGCCTGAATAATTTTTTAATTTTTTGTAGAGACAGGGTTTCAGTATGTTGCCTGGGCTGGTCTCTTAACTCCTGGGTTCAAGCAATCCACCTCAAGTCTCCCAAAGTGCTGGGATTACAGATGTGAGGCACTGCACCCGGTTCATGTTACACTTTGTTGATGAAAATCTTTCAGTTGGCTCCCATTAGCCACAATATAAAGTCCAAGTTCTTTTTTTTTTTTTTTGAGATGGAGTTTTGCCCAGGCTGGAGTGCAATGGCATGATCTCGGCCTCCTGGGTTCAAGCAATTCTCCTGCCTCAGCCTCTGGAATAGCTGGGATTACAGGTGCATGCCACCACACTCAGCTAATTTTTGTATTTTTAGTAGAGATAGTGTTTCATCATGTCGGCCAAGTTGGTCTCAAACTCCTGACCTCAGGTGATCCACCCACCTTGGCCTCCCAAAGTGTTGAGATTACAGGTGTGAGCCATGGCACCTGGCCCCCAGGTTCATTTTAGTGGTGTTTATAACTCTCATAAATCCAGTAGTGCAATATTACATTACTCATTGCTTCATTTCCTGAAATCTTTCGGCCTAAAGAACAAACTATGCATTTCCTTGACTACAGACTGTGTTCAAGCTATGCCTTTCAATGCACCCTGCTTCCCCAACTCCCTGCTGCCCATTACAGAACAGTTCCCATCCCTGTTACTAACCAATTCTCATCAATTTCTTAGGGCCTAGTTATATACTACCCCTCCAAGCTGCATGAACTCACTTTAGACTATAGCAGTCCAGTCATCTCTTCCTTTAATTCTGTCCATATACCTCATTTGGCATTTAATATATTATTGGCAATAGTGTATCATGTATTCATTCAACAAATACAGAATTCTATGAGCCAGGTACTGTGTATAAAAAACTGAAGAAGGAAAATTAAATTTCCATGTGTATATGCAAGGTTTTCCTCCTATCAGGGATACCAGATGGTATCCTACAGATTTTCATACACGTTCTGTATTTAGTAATTATTGTTTCCTCAAATCCCTAATCACTTTGTCCAAATCTCTATCACCCTTGTGTGAATAGTGACCTTGTGTGACTCGTAATTGTATTGAAATTGTAGGCTTTGATTGTAAAGGCATCTTATTTACCTACTAGATTATAGGGGCCCTGGGACCAGGTTTCATATCTGATTCATCTCTGCATGTCTCACAGAGAATGGGACATAAGTAGAGACTCAGATATCTACTGAATGTTTGAAAGATATTGAATGCAATGTCTCAGTGAATATGCACAGCAAGACTTCCTTACACATTGGCCCCTCAGTGTTTGAGAATGTTTTAACATGTTTCTTTAATATGACTTCATTATAAACGTTAAGCTTAACCAAGATGAAATATTTAGACCTTCAGCAGTTTCCAAAAAAAAAAGCCACTTAAAAGCTTGAGTATAACATGAATCACTTTAGACATCTAACAAATAAGGAGTTAAATCGGAACACATACTACCTGTAAGTATAAAATTATACAGAGCCCACAAGGTAAGTAATAGCTTTTGATAGACAATATAATTAATACATCAATGAGTAACTACTCTAAACATGGAGCTAAGGCAGGCACCAAGAATAGATATGAGACATGGTACCTATCTTCAAAAACCAGAGGATAAACAACACAAAGCAGCAAATACGAAGATAAAAATCAAGGCAGGCCAGGTATGGCAGCTTATGCCTATAATCCCAGCACTTTGGGAGGCCAAGGCGGGAGAATCACTTGCATTGAGGAGTTGGAGACCAGCCTAAGGCAACATGGGAAGGCCCTGTCTCTACAAAAACATTTTTTTTAAAAGTTTTTTGTTTTTAATTAGCCAGGCATGGTGGCACGAGTCTGTAGTCCTGTTACTCAGGAGGCTGAGGGGGGAGGACTGCTTGAGCCTGACAGGTTGAGACTTCAGTGAGCCATAATCATGCCACTGTACTCCAGCCTGGGCAACAGACTGAGACCCTGTCTCAAAAAAACAAAAACAAACAAACAAAAGAAACAAGCAAGACAATATGAATTCAGAGAAGGAAACATCAATGAAGGCTGTGATGGTACAACAGAACTCAAGGTAAGGGCTGAAAATATTCGCTAAGGGGAACTTAGAAGCTAAGTATAGAAATCCTCCCCAACTTCCCAGCACTTTAGGATGCTGAGATGGGAGGGTTGCTTAAGTCCAAAAGTCAAGATCAGCCTGGGAAAAATAGCAAGATCCTGTCTTTACAAAGAAAAAGAAAAAGAAAAATTAGCCAGGCATGGTGGTGTACACCTGTAGTCTCAGCACTTTGGGAGGCTGAAGTGGGAGGAGAGGATTGCTTGAGCCCAGGAGTTCAAGACCAGCCTGAGTAACATACCAAGGTCTCGTCTGTACAAAAAATTTAAAAATTAACAGGGCATGGTGGTGTGTGTCTGTAGTCCTAGCTACTCAGGAGGCTGAGGTGGGAGGATTCCTTAAGCCCAGGAGTTTGAGGTTACAGTCGGCTATGGTCATGCCTATGCACTCCAGCCTGGGTACTGAGTGAGACTCTATCTCAGAAAGAAATCCCTCCCCAACCTCAAATTCCTTTGTGACCTCTTATATACGAAATGCCAAAGGACTATTAGAAAAGGGTGGAACTGAGGGATGGGAAGAAAAAAATGGAACAAAGGAGGATGGCATAGCTGGAGAGGACATTTTTGTACTCGAGCACCGGGGAAATAAAAGTTGAAGAAAAGCAAACATGGGTCCCTGTAAAGATTTTCTTTTGAGGGGTGAGGGTAGGGTTGGGAGGAAGAGTATTTACCAAGCAATCAAATATAAAATGACCTGCGCTTGAGCCCAGGCATTCAAGGTTGCAGAAAGCTATGGTCATGCCACTGCACTCAAGTTTGGGTGACAGAGTAACACATAGTCTCTAAAAAGATTTAAAAAAAAATATGGAGGTTGAATATTGATTAATGGCAGAGAGGCCAACTACTAGATTATTTTAACAGTTCAGGAGACAAATAATGAAGGTATGGATTATGAAAAGAGCAGAAAGAATAGAAAACACAACTTCTGGAAGAACACTGTCCTCAAATAACACCTCTGAGCAGAAACCCTAGTGAAAGTGCTCCAAGTGGCCAAGTGCTGCCCTAGACATCAGGACATCTGAAAACCGGGTCTTCTAACAGATCAGAACATAGTCAAATTTCAGAGGCTTTCTGGTGGGAAGGGCAAAACGTTTATTTCAGGAGCCAAGCTTTTCTAGTTTATTCCTAAAAGGTTAGGGCTGTACATCACCATAGTGTTTAAAAAAGAAAAATAAAAGGTTAGAGTTGGATGGTACAAAAGAGCTAGGGTAGTGGCGACATTAATTTCATAACTTCCTCTTACCAAGACCCATTCTGGCTCCAAGGAAACAGTTAATAGACAAGGCTTTGGAGAAAAGAAAAGAAAAGAATTCAGCAGAGTTTTAAACTGAATCAGAAAAAAAAAAAGAAAAGAAAAGAAAAGAAAAAAAATCAATCTATTCTCCTGACACAAATTAAACTTGCAAGTGCCTATGGCTGGGTATGGTTCTCCCGATAGTCAGAAAAGAGATGGCTGGGAACTCCTGTGATGGTTTCCCTATCACAAATGTGTTAATTTGGTTCCTGTGATCACACTTTTTTTTTCTTTTTTTGAGACAGAGTCTCACTCTGTCACTCAGGCTGGAGTACGGTGGCATGATCTTGGCTCACTTCAACCTCTGCCTCCTGGGTTCAAAAAAGTGTTTTTCAGAGGAACCTAACAGAACATATATGAGATGGAGTCTCGCTCTGTCGCTGGGTTGGAGTGCAGTGGCACGATCTCAGCTCACTGTAACCTCTGCCTCCCAGGTTCAAGTGATTCTCCTGCCTCAGCCTCTCTGAGTAGCTGGGACTACAGGCTGGAGCCACCACGCCCAGCTAATTTTTGTATTTTTAGCAGAGACGGATTTTACCATGTTGGCCAGGATAGTCTCAATCTCTTGACCTTGTGATCCACCCACCTCAGCCTCCCAAACTGCTGGGATTACAGGTGTGAGCCACCGCACCCGGCCAAAAATATTTTTTAAAAAGGAATTTTAACATTTACTGAATACCTTCTATGTGCCAGACAAATCTAGTAAGTACTTTTAAAATACAATCCTATTGACTTTTATTATTTTTGAGACAGAATCTTGCCCTGTCACCCAGGCTGGAGTGCAGTGGCACAATCTTGACTCACTGCAACCTCCGCCTCCTGGGTTCAAGTGATTCTCATGCCTCAGCCTCCTGAGTAGCTGGGATTACAGGCATGTTCCATCATGCCTGGCTAATTTTTGTATTTGTAGTAGAGATAAGGTCTGAACATGTTGGCCAGGCTGGTCTCGAACTCCTGGCCTCAGGTGATCTGCCTGCCTCTGCCTCCCAAAATGCTAGGATTACAAGTGTGAGCCACTGCACCTGACCTTGATTTTTGTTGTTGTTGTTTTGTTATCTGTCCTAGTAAACAATTAACTTGGCTGAACTCGAACTCCAAATGCTGAAATCGAAGTTCAGTTCTTTCAGTCTTACCTCAGCTGCCTGGAGTCTGACCTAAGCACATGCAGTTTAAAGGGTCAACCAGATATTTAGGCAAACACTATAATCAGAATGTAGGGTTCTTTTGTTTTGCTCTCCCCCTTTTGGGACTTTTCTTCCTCCCTTTCTAGCAGCTGTGATCACCCTGAAATCTGTCCTTTGGTTCTCTAAGCCAGTGGGACAGAAGATCTTCCGTTAGGCTTTCTGTCACCCAGTGGGCAGAGTGGTTCTTGGCCTCTAACTTAAAGCCATAATAGGAACGTTGCCTAGTGCCATTCCCTTCACCTAAAGGGAGAAACCCCTCCAGCATGTTTCTTCTTTTTCTTGCTCCCTAGTTCCTTTAGAAAGTTGTTTTTTGTTATATGAGAATAGGCTGAGGCTTCAGACCCTGGCCATGGCACTTGCGGGGTTTCCCCCCCTACAGGATGGATAAATAAATACAAGAAAAAGAAAAAAGAAAAAAAAAATAAATAAAAGAAAGTTATTTTTTGTATTTTGTTCAGAGTGTATAAGTTATTCAAAGGTAGAAAGTTGGTCTGACAAGCTACTCAACCACTAACCAAAAGCAGAAAGAAGTGTACATCTTTGAAAATAGAATTCCATTTAAATAGTCTACTCAGACTGATCTTTTTTGGTATGTTTCAATTAATATGATGTTGTTGGTAAGGCAAGTATATAGTATCTGACAGTTAAAGCACAATCAGACTGGGCATAGTGGCTCACACCTGTAATCCTAGCAATTTGAGAGGCCAAGGTGGGCAGTTCATTTGAGGCCAGGAGTTTGAGAACAACCTAGCCAATATGGCGAAACCCCGTTTCTACTAAAAAATACAAAACTTAGCCAGGCATGGTGGCTCTCTCTTGTAATCACAGCATTTTGGGAGAATAAGGTGGGTGGATTGCTTGAGGCCAGGAGTTCAAGACCAACATGACCAACATGGTGAAACCCTATCTCTACTAAAAAATACAAAAATTAGCTGGGTGTGGTAGAACACGCCTGTAGTCCCAGCTACTAGGGAGGCTGAGGCAGGAGAATCACTTGAACCCAGGAGGGAGGCAGGGGTTGTGATGAGCCGAGATCACGCCCTGTACTTCCCGCCTGGGTGATAGGAGGAGACTCTGCCTCAAAAAAACAACAAAGACAACAATAGCAACAAAAAACCACCATCATGTTTATACATACTCTCTTATTTAATCTTCACAACAACCATGTAAAATTAGAGGTATATCTTCATACTATAGATAAGGAAACTGAGGACTTAGAGGGAAAGCTTACCAAATAACAATGTTGTTCATAATAGTAGTACCAAGCAGAGCTTCTTGCATCCCTTGGACCTCAGCAAAAGTTAGAATAGTCTCCTCAGGAGGCATCAAAAATTGGTTTTCTTTGCTTCTGCAATTAAAACAGTATTAAAAGTCAGTACTTTGTGCTAAAGCAGTTTCTACGTAGCCCTTCTACACATTTTTTAACTATGTGTAATATAAATTAACCTGGTATCAGGAAAAAAAAATCAAACCCAGAAAATGTGTATACTAAACTTTCCACAATGAACATATATTACTTTTATATTATCTACTTAGGTATCCTGCTAGCACCTCAAATTCTTTATATTCAAAATTAAACTTGTCAACTTTCTCTTTAAACCTTTTGTTTCTTTCTGCATTCCTATCTCAATGGAACTGCACCACCATCTAATGTCCAGGTTTCAGGGTTGGCCAACACTCAAGTGACCACCTAGATTGGCAGTAAGGAGACAAGGATAATGTCCACGTTTCGGGCCTGGTCACCACTCAAGTGACCAACCCTACCTACCACCTTGATATTCTCTCCTTTCTCTCAATCTAGTCAATTACCAAGTCCCAGTAACTTTATCATCTCATCTCTCAGAAATCTGTCTGCTGCTTCTCATCTCCACTAACATAATCCTAATTTAAGCAAACAACTATCATCTCTTGCCTAGATTACTGCCACAAATCATAAATAAATAAGTCAAAGTTACCCACCCTCCATTTTAGAAAACACAGATGAATAGTAACAATGAAGTGTAATTGAAAAATAAAAATAAAAAAATGAAGTATAATGAGTATATGATAGAGAAGGTGCTGTAAGTTCAGTTTGCAACATTTTGAATTTGAGGTGTTCCCAATATTTCTAATAAATAGGCCTGTGGGTCTAGAGCTCAAGAAAGAGCTCAGAGGTAAAAATGTATGTTTGCAAGTAGCTAGTACCAAGATGATCAATGAGGCAATGGACACCAAGTGTGTGGAACGAGGAAAGGGTTTACGACCTTAAGGTATTTCTATATTTAAAAAAAAAAATGTGTGTGTGTGTATGTGTGTGTGTGTGTGTGTGTGTAAGATTAGGTCTCCCTCTGCTGCCCGAGGTGGTGTGCAGTGGTGTGATTACAGCTCATTGCACCCTTGAACTCCTGAGCTCAAGTGATCCTCCCATTAGACTCCCTAGCAGCTGGGACCACAGGCGTGCTCTGCCACACCCAGCTAATTGTTAATTTTTTGTAAAGATGGGCTCTGCTATGTGGCCTCAAATGGTCTTGAAGCCCTGGGCTCAAACTTCTGCCCTGGCCTCCCAAAGGGCTGGGATTATGGGCATGAGCCACTGTGCCCAGCAGAAGTATTTCTAAGGGACACAGAGATTTCAAAGAAGACTGAAGAGCAAACTACATTTGCTGAGCCTCTCCCCTTCTTTGACTTCATCCCTGTCATATCTGGTTTCCCCCTCACTAACCTGCTTCTATGTCATAACCTAGTGTTGACGCCATACATGCTATATTACACCTACAGGACAGAAAAACAACATCCTAGTTACCCAACTTTCTCTGAAACCTGTGATAAAATCACCCTTCATCTAATAGCTAAAAATCAACCAATGCTTTTCTTACCCTCCATCTTCTGCAAACGTCATGACTTCTACTTGTTGATCAGAAAGGGTCCCACTGCTACTAACTAGCCTCCTCTTTGTCAGGCCAAGCACAGCTTTTATATTTCCAGACTTCAGTAGTACTTGCTTTTCATTTTCATCATCAGAGGAACAAAGCAATGCCCTAAACCAAACATAAGGAAAAATGGGGTGACAGGAGTAAGCTTTTAATATTAAAGGACTAGGTTCACATTCTTTTTTTTTTTTTTTTTGAGATGAAGTCTTACTCTGCATCCAGGCAGAGTGTAGTGGCACGATCTTGGCTCACTGCAACCTGTTTCCTGGGTTCAAGCAATTCTCCTACCTCAGCCTCCTGAGTAGCTGGGATTATAGGCACCTGCCACCACACCCAGCTAATATTTGTATTGTTAATAGAGACACAGTTTCACAGTGTTGGCCAGGCTTGTCTCAAACTCCTGACCTCAGGTGATCCACATCCCTCAGCCTCCCAAACTGCTGAGATTATAGGTGTGAGCCACTGTACCTGGCTTATATTCACATTTTAAATAGAAACTTTAGTAAGGGATGTTATTTTATTGTTTTTTTTTTCTTTTTTTCAAAAAGCTCTCTTTAAATCTTTCAGATTCTTTCAAGATTCAAGCCTAGGTTATTACCTGAACTCAAAACCAGCTGACAGAGACAAAGATGAAGGAAAAACAAATCACCCCTTGAGAATTACATACCTGATCTCTCTGATTTCCAAATTTCCCAAAGCTACACACACCAGATTATACACATCAGGCACTGGAACTATCTGTAATACTGGAACCTAAATAAAACAAAGCAGCCAAAAATTATACTTGGTTGTTTCCTTTTTAATCCAGATTTTCTAAAATTTATCAAACTCTTTTTTATTCTCACTGTACCAGGATAATTTTCAACATCTGAAGGCTCAGAAAACATTCTTATTATTAGCTGTAAATCCAAATAAACTATATGCATAATAGTGCTTACTAAGCATTTACCTAACGCAATGTACTACTCTAACAATAGGGGAATAATTAAGTATATTCTGGCATGTGAATGAAAAGAACATTTATGCAGCCATTTAAAAGTATATGTATGTTCAAAGCACAGTGTTAGGTGTGGTATATATTTGGAGAGTAAGAATGAGGTATATACAAGTATGAAGACTTAACAGAAACAAGGAAAAAAAATTTTTTTTTAAGATGGAATTTCACTTGTTGCCCACTCTGGAGTGCAGTGGCGCAATCTCAGCTCACTGCAACCTCCACCTCCTGGGTACAAGCAATTCTCCTGCCTCAGCCTCCCAAGTAGCTGGGACTAGGGGCATGAGCCACCACACCTGGCTAATTTTTGTATTTTTCGTAGAGACAAGGTTTAACCATGTTGGTCAGGCTAGTCACTAACTTTTGACCTCAGGTGATCCACCTGCCTCAGTTTCCCAAAGTGCTAGATTACAGGTGCGAGCCACTGTACCTGGCCGGAAAAAGTGTTTATATGGTGAGAAAAGACAGATCTAAAAATTTTAAGCACACTAAGATTGTAAGCATGTAAGATGTATATGATGGATATACATGTAGTAAGAAGCAAAATAATGCCTTGGGGAAAGGCAAGGAGTATAGATATCAGCAAGTAACGAAGTCAGAATAGAAATAAAATTCTAAGCTTGGCCAGGCACAGTGGCTCACGCCTGTAATCCCAAACACTTTGGGAGGCCGAGGCAGGCAGTTCACCTGAGGTCGGGAGTTTGACATCAGCCTGACCAACATGGAGAAACCCCATCTCTACTAAAAGTACAAAATTAGCCGGGTGTGGTGGCGCATGTTTGTAATTCCACCTACTCAGGAGGCTGAGGCAGGAGAATCACTTGAACCCGGAAGGCGGAGGTTGTGGTGAACCAAGATCATACCATTGCACTCCAGCCTGGGCAACAAGAGTGAAAGTCTGTCTTAAAAAAAAAAATTCTAAGCTCCTCCAACAGGTCTAGTGTAAAAACCCATCTCTGGACTGGGTTCAGTGGCTCATGCCTATAATCCCAGCACTTTGGGAAGCTGAGGCGGGCAGATCACTTGTGGTCAGGAGTTCGAGACCAGCCTGGCCAACAAGGTAAAACCCCGTCTCTACTAAAAATACAAAAATTAGCTGGGTGGGGTGGTGAGTGCCAATAGTCCTAGCTACTCGGGAGGCTGAGGCAGGAGAATTGCCTGAACCTGGGAGGCAGAAGTTGCAGTGAGCCAAGATGGCACCACTGCACTACAGCCTGGGAGACAGTATGACTCTGTCTCCAAAAAAAAAAACAAAACCAAACAACAAAAAAAAAACCCATCTCTAGATAACGCTGTGATTGGCTGGGTATGGTGGTTCACATCTGTAATCCCCAGCACTTTGGGAGGCTAAGGCAGGAGGACTGCTTAAGCCCAGGAGTTTAAGACCAGCCTGGGCAACATGGCAAAACCCCATCTCTATAAAAAACACAGGCCAGGCGTGGTGCTCATGTCTGTAATCCCAGCACTTTGGGAGGCTGAGGTGGGCAGACTGCCTGAGGTCAGAAGTTTGAGAACAGCCTGGCCAACATGGCAAAATCCCATCTCTACTAAAAATACAAAAAAATTAGCCAGGCATGGTGGCAGGCACCTATAATCCCAGCTACTCACAAGGCTGAGGCACAAGAATCCCTTGAACCCGGGTGGCAGAGGTTGGCAGTGAGCTGAGATCGTGCCACCGCACTCCAGCCTGTGTGACAGAGAGAGATTCCATCTCAATAAAAAGAAAAAAAACAAAAAAATAAAAAATTAGGCAGACATGGTGGTGTATGCCTATGGTCCCAGCTACTTGGGAGGTTGAGGTGAGAAGATTACCTAGCCTGGGGAGGTTGAGGCTGCAGTGAGCCATGATCACGCCACTGCACTACAGCCTGTGTGACAGAGTGAGACCTTGTCTCAAACAAGCAAACAAAAATTTGTGATAAAGCAAATAAAGCAGCATGTTAATGGTAGAGTCTATAATGGTAGGTATATGGGTGCTCACTATACTACTTTTCTGGGTGTTTGAAACTTTTCATAATAAAATGTTAGGGAAAAAAAACCTCATCTCTGTTCTGCCTTGCATGGTCATAGCTCCTAAGTTTGGTAAGCTACCCATCTACAATATTAGGCAAATATGTCTTTCAGCTCAAGATTCCTACTTACCTCTGTGAAGTGCCAGGTATAAAGTTTTTTCCACTGCCAAGCACCCAAAGCTTTCCAAAGAGAAACTACGTCTTCACAAGCAGTTATGATACATGGCTCCTTACAACCGGCTCTTTCCCAAAACATGGCACTCACATCTACGGAACAGGAACCTGAAAGATTCTGACACAATAGCAACAAGAGTTCTATTAAAGTGGTACTCGAGGGCTGTTTTATGCAAAGCATAAATATGAAAAGTGAGGAAGTACAATTCAATGAAACAGTAGGTATGTAAAATTTAAGTTTTATGCAGGTCAAAAGAAAGAGCTTTGTGGTTCTTATGTACCTAAAAAATTGCCTATCAAACTTACATTATGAAATATTTTGTTTTATTTTATTAATTTTAATTTTTTTTTTTTTTGAGATTGAGTCTCACTCACTCAATCACCCAGGCTGTATAGTGGTGCAATCTCGGCTCACTGTAACCTCCGTCTCCTGGATTCAAGTGATTCTCCTGCCTCAGCCTTCGGAGTAGCTGGGATCACAGGCACCTGCCACCACACCCAGCTAATTTTTATATTTATAGTAGAGACAGGTTTCACCTCCCAAAGTACTTGGATTACAGGCATGAGCACCACGCTTGGCCCATGAAAGATTTTAAAATATACAGTCCAGATGGAATAAATTCAGATTTAACCATAAGAAGATATCCCATAGAACTTACCCATTTGAAAATGAAACATCCTGATGAACCACTCATGGGTTGAAGAGGGAATAACATGGAAACAACATATATTACGCTATCTACTATTATGACAATGGGAGCACTACATATCCAAACCACAGAGCATGGCCAAACCAGTATTTCCAAGAAAATTTGGAAATTTCCAAGAAAAATCATAATCACAAAGCCATTTATAAGGAAACAAGAAAGATTAAAATCAAGTAAGCATGCAGCTCAGGAAGTCAGTACTAAAACAAAATAAGAACAATAAAAAACAGTAGGAAGGAATTATTTATAGTTATTCTACTTATTACAAAAACAGAACTAGGCCAGGTGCAGTGGCTCATGCCTGTAATCCTGGCACTTTGGGAGGCCGAGGCTAGTGGATCTTGAGTTCAGAAGATTGACCACCCTGGCTAACATGGTGAAACCCTGTCTTTACTAAACATACAAAAAATTAGCCAGGTGTGGTGGCATGTGCCTGGAGTCCCAATTACTTGGGAAGCTGAAGTGGGATAATTGCTTGAACCTGGAAGGCAGAGGTTGCAATGAGCTAAGATTGAGCCAGTGCACTCCAGCCTGGTGACAGAACAAGACTCACTCTCATAAAACAAAACAAAACAAAACCCAGAAATAAATGAACTAGAAAACAAAACAAAAAACAACAACAAAAAATACGACCCAATTAATAATTGATATAATGGCCAAATCTCAAGTCTAATGTAGAAAAACAATAATTTTAGAAATGGGAGAAGGGAGAGGAGAGGCTTAATTGCAGATATACAGATTTTAAAGATCTATAAGTAGTAGTAACTTTTTACCTACAAATCTGAAAATATGAATGAAATGGTTGATTCCTTAAGAGGCTAAGTTATTAGGATACTGGGCATGGTAGCTCAAACCTATGATCCCAGCACGTTGAGAGGCCAAGGCAGGCAAAGCCCCTGAGGTTAGGCGTTCAAGACCAGCCTGGCCAAGGTGGCGAAACTCCATCTCTACTGAAAATACAAAAATTGGCCACGTGCGGTGGTTCATGCCTGTAATCCCAGCACTTTGTGAGGCTGACATTAGCAGATCACCTAAGGTCAGGAGTTCGAGACCAGCCTGACCAACATGGAGAAACCTGTCTCTACTAAAAGTACAAAATTAACCAGGCATGGTGGTACATGCCTGTAATCCCAGCTACTGGGAAGGCTGAGGCAGGAGAATTGCTTGAACCCGGGAGGTGGAGGTTGCAGTGAGCTGAGATCACACCACTGCACTCCAGCTTGGGTAATGAGAGCAAAACTCTGTCTAAAGAAATAAATAAATAAAAATAAAAAATTAGCAAGGTGTGGTGGTGCGCACCTGTAATCCCAGCTACTCTGGAGGCTGAGATACAAGAATCACTTGAGTCTGTGAGGTGGAGGTTGCAGTGAGTGGAGACTGGAGACTGCCCCATGGCACTCCAGCCTGGGCAACAGAGGGAGACTCTGTCTCAAAAAATAAAATAAAAATAAACTAGGTTATTAAAATTGACTCAAGAATAAATTCTGAAACAGAGCACAGGTATTATGATGTATCCTTTATGGAAAAGAAATCTAGAGCTTAGAGGTTACACAATTTGTTCAAGGTGACATAGCCAATAACTGGAAAAAACACTTTATGTATGTGGATTTGAAGCTCTTTCCTTCACACTACTGGTTCTCTGGGAGAGCTTCTGTACTCCCATCTTCACCCCCACCCCTAGGACATTTAGTAATACAACATTTTCAGTTATCACACTGCATAGAAAAGACTAAACAATCTATCAAAATCTAGAACTGCTACCCATTTTCTTATAAATCACCATAAGTGATTTTTCTAGGAACACTATACCATTTGAGTAGGAGAGGCATGAATAACTCTCATTTCACTCTCTTTCTGTCAAAATGCCTGACATCTCATCTCATCTCATCTCCTCATCTCATCTCATCTCATCTCATCTCATCTCATCTCATCTCATCATCTCATCATCTCATCTCATTTTGAGACAGAGTCTCATTCTGTTGCCCAGGCTGGAGTGCACTGGTGAGATCTTGGCTCAATGCAACGTCTGCCTCTGGGTTCAAGTATTCTCCTTCTCAGCCTCCCTAGTAGCTGGGATTATAGGCGTGACCATCACGCTTGGCTAGTTGTTGTATTTTTAGTAAAGATGGGGTTTCACCATGTTGGCCAGGCTGACCTCAAACTCCTGACCTCAAGTGATTTGCCCGCTTCAGCCCCCAAAGTGCTGAGATTACAGCTGTGAGCCACCACGCCCAGCTCCCTAACTTAGATTTACTTAGCCTAAGTTGTTCTTGGCAATAGATTGGTATAGAAACGTCAAGAGAAGAGCTCAAAACATAAACAGAGGTAAATATTGGGAAAAACAAACAATCCAAATCTGTTTTCTGAATCTGTTTACCAATATATTTAATAGTATTAAAGAACAAGAAGCTATATGATCAAATTATTTTTCAATTCATTCAAGTTTTCATATGAAAGACACAAGACACTGTAAAAGAATATTCTTCTGACCTTTAACTTTGAAACCAATTTTAGGTTGCCTGGGTTTATGCTACCAGAAGCAGGAAGCACTGCTACTTCATTCTGTGAAAACAAAAGTCACATCATTAGTCTACACTTTATGTATAATGTCTGCCTGCATCACCTACTCATCAAAATAACTACTTCATATTGTTTTTATTTCCTCTTATAATAGCAGCAAAGCTCCAGAGGCAAACTGTTTTCACTGATGACAAAGAGAATAGGATCTCCCATATTTAAAAGAAACATTTTAATGAGCCTTAATTTCCCCAGAATGAACTTAATGTTTACAATGAAGTCATTTCAAAGAAACATGTTAAAACATTCTTAAACATGGAGGGCCTAAGCAAGTCATGCTGTTTACATTCACTAAGACATTTCATTCCTTCAGAGAAAATTTCACAAAGGAAATAAATGTACCTGTTCAACAAACTGTTTACGCAACTCCTGGCATGTGTTTCCATAGAGCTGATTTTCTTTAAAAGTGAATGACTCAACGGGTGGGGATGTTCCTTGCAGGACAGACTCACAGTCACAGGTAGGTTGTCCTTGCCTGCCTGACACTTGCAGGGTGGTATGTGGTTTTGCTGGGCTGCTTGAACTGTCGCACTGTTTACCATCACTGGCAAGACAGATTGAGTCTTTCAAATGAGCAAGTTGGGGTGTACAGCAAGTTTGTCCAGTGACCTCTGTGCATGCTTTTTCATAGGAGCCTTGAGAGCCAAAGGCTGGAGTAGTACCTAAGATGGGGAAAGCAGGTGAACACATGTCTGCAGTAGGTCTATCATTATCATCAGGCACAACTGTATTTAAAGGAGTATAAAGTAATATGGATGAAGAAAGGCCCTTCTTTGCACACTGGCTTTGTGGGTTTGGCATTTTGGGATGCGATTTTCCTGGCAAAACAACAACATCCTCTTCTAAGTCTTCCATTTCTGTATCCATGCATTTAGGACTCAGTTCCTCTGGAAAAATACAATTTCTCCCTTTAAGATGCCTCTCTCCATACACTTTTGATTCAAAGGGCTCCATTAGTTTTTCTGAGCAGGATTTCAGTTTTTCAAGCTTAAGAGGCCCAAAGTCTTCATCAGGTAACTGAAAGTCTGTGATATTGAGAAAAGACGATAGTTGCTTTAAACTCAGCATTCCATTCTTATGGAACGAAGCTATGAAAGCATCATCATCCAAGGATAAATAAGCACTATTACTCCAAGAAAGGGAGTCCTCTTTTTGATGACGACTTTTCTTCCCTAGAGAAAAATAAGCCACATAGTAACAAAACCCAACAAAAGAGACATTAATACCCAACAAAGAGTGAGCTTCTAAACTCACATATACTAGAAAATGTTCATTACCTTTCCCACTCATGACTCAGAAACCTGGGTGAAAGGTTCAAACAATGGTCATGGGTTAGTGTTTAATTAACAGCTCTTTTCCCACACTACCCCAAAAGTGTATTGCTAGCCAGGTGTGGTAGCTCACAGCTGTAATCCTAGTGCTTTGAGAGGTCAAGGTAAGAGAATCGCCAGAACCCAGGGGTTCAAGACCAGCCTGGGCAACACAGTGAGGCTGTCTTTAAAAAAAAAACCAAAAACTAAAAATTAAAAAAAATAAATAAATAAGGCCAGGCACAGTGGCTCACACTTGTAGTCTCATCACTTTGAGAGGCTGAGGCAAGTGGATCACTTGAGGTCAGGAGTTTAAGATCAGCCTCGCCAACATGGTGAAACCATCTCTACTAAAAATACAAAAAAAAAAAAATTAGCCGGAGTGGTGGTGCATACCTGTGATCTCAGCTACCCGAAGCTGAGGCAGGAGAACCGCTTAAACTCAGGAGGTGGAGGTTGAAATGAACCAAACTGCACCCCTGAACTCCAGCCTGGGCAACAGAGCGAGATTCCATCTCAAAGAATAAATAAATAAATAAAACCAAATAAAACCAAACAGTATATGGCTAACATTAACTGGGAAAAGGGACTGAGGTGATGTCTCAGCTCAACCACTGATTTACAGTGTAAACTTAGGCAAATCGATTTATTTCATTTTCCTTTTTCTCATTGTCTCTCTAAGGCAAGTGAATTAAAAATATCTATATCCTTTCCTACCTCTAAAACTGTGATTCCAACAGGCTGCCAGAGTATGGTCTACTAAATGCTGGCTCCTCTCACTATGGAAAATTAAGTCCCCTTTTGAAGCAAAGAGTAATTTACTGCTTTTTGTTTGCTTGTTTGTTTCAAGACAGGCTCTCACTGTTGCCCAGGCTGGAGTGCAGTGGTGAGATCTTGGCTCACTGCAACCTCCCACATCAGCCTCCTGAGTAGAAATTAACTGCTCTTATTGCAAATGGTATCCCACACCATTCAAAATGTTGCTATATCCTAAATGATGAATGCATAAACAAACTGTGGCATATACATACGATGGAATATTATTTAGTCATAAAAATGAACAAACTACTGATGCATGTTACAACACAGGTTGTACCTTAAAAACATTATACTAAGTGGCCAGGCTTGGTGGCTCATACCTATAATCCCAGCACTTTGGGAGGCCAAAGGCAAGTGGTTCACTTGAGATCAGGAGTTTGAGGCCAGCATGGCCAACATGATGAAACTCTCTTTCTACTAAAAATGTAAAAATTAGTCAGGTGTGGTGGTGGGCGCCTATAATCCCAGCTACTCCTGAGGCTGAGGCAGAAGAATCACTTGAACCTGGAAGGCAGAGGTTGCAGTGAGCTGAGATTTTGCCACTGCACTCCAGCCTGGGCAACAGAGTAAGACTCCATCTCAAAAACAAATAAACCTGTTATGCTAAGTGAAAGCAGCCAGACACAAAAGGTCTCATATTGTATGATTCCATATATATGAAATATCCATATATATGAAATATGATGTATTATGTAAATCCATGGAGATAGAAAGCAGATTGGCGGTTGCCCAAGGATGGGGTAGAGGGTAGGGGGAGAGAAATAGGTAGCAGCTGCTTAATGGGTACGGGATTTTGAGGTGATAAAAATGTTTTAGAATGAGATAGAGGTGATAGCTGCACAACACTGTAAATGTACTGACTTGTTCACTTAATTTAAAATGGCTAATGTTGTTATATGAATGTCACCTTGTGAAAAAAAGTTTTTAAATGTAGCTGCAGTCTACTAAAATTATAGCAGACTATTTCAAACTACTGGTTGGGCCTGGTGGCTCACGCCTATAATCTCAGCACTTTGGGAGGCCGAGGCAGGCAGATCACCAGAGTTTAGGAGGTCAAGACTAGCTTGGCCAAAATGGCGAAACCGCATCTCTACTAAAAATATAAAAATTAGCTGGGCATGGTGGCGGGCGGGCACCTGTAATCCCAGCTACTCAGGAGGCTGAGGTGGGAGAATCACTTGAACCTGGGAGGTGGAGGTTGCAGTGAGCTGAGATAGCACCACTGCACTCCATCCTGGGCAATAAGAGCGAAACTCTGTCTCAACAACAACAAAAAACTGTGTAAAAAACAGTATTTCTAGATTACTGGATTGCCTACTTTTTGATGACTTTGTATTCTTGTTAACTTAAAAGATAATGAAGAGTCACAATTATTATTTTTGGATTAATTAATCATAGCTCATAGACCAAGTCTCTGTCCAGTGGTACAGAACCGCCTGCTACCTATTTTTGCACATAAAGTTGTTTTTTTTTGTTTTACCAACTTGGCTGTAAAATGCACAGTAAAGGTGTGTTAGAACATAGTCACAGTTACAAATTGAATTTGGCTGCTCTGGCACATAGCTGAGTAGTTAAGACAGAGCATAAAGACTAAAATATGTGCTATCTGGCCCCTTCCAGAAAGTATGCTGATCCCTGGTTTACAGTCATAATGAATTACCCAGTTTTTGTGCTCAGTTGATCAGATATGATTAAATCCTCAGTAAATGAATTACAAGTTTAAATTACAATGTATCCTTGCTTGCCATCCTCAAAAATCCTGTGTTCCTTGGAGGCCTTAGAGACACTGCATTAGATATTTTATCCAAAAAAGTTGCTCAGGCCTTTTATATTACATGTTGACTTCTAAAAGAGGTAGTCAGTGGACTCCTACTCTTTTTTTTTCTTTTGAGAGAGTGTCTTGGGTCTTGTTCTGTCACCCAGGCTGGAGTGCAGTGGTGCAATCACAGCTCACGCAGCCTCAACCTCCTGGGCTCAAGTGATCCTCCCACCTAAGCCTCTCAAGTAACTGAAACTACAAGCATATACCACCACACCTGGCTAATTTTTCTATATATTTTTTTTGTAGAGATGGGGTTTCATCATGTTGCTCAAGCTGGTCTCAAACTCCTAGGCTCAAGCAATCCTCCCGCCTTGGCCTCCCAAAGTGCTGGGATTACAGGGTTGAGCCACCAAACCTGACATAGAGTCTTACTCTAGTACAAATTCCATTTTACTTCAAAAAACACTTTCTATATTAGCTGTGAAGCTGCTAGCCATAGATAAGAATTGTGTTCTGCCTGAATAAATATTAATATTACATACACACCAGTATATTTTCCTTTTCAGTGTTTGTTTCAGCTCTATTAGTGAACACTGGCACCATACCATCAGGTTTAAATCTGGCTCTTGATTTTAATTACATTAATTAAAGTCATTTAATTTTTTTTTTTTTTTTTTTTTGAGATGGAGTATCACTCTGTCACCCAGGCTGGAGCCTCCACCTCCTGGGTTCAACCAATTCTCCTGCCTCAGGCTTCTGAGTAGCAGGGATTATAGGCATGTGCCACCACACCTGGCTAATTTTTTTTTTTTTTTTTTTTTGTATTTTTAGTAGAGATGGGGTTTCATCATGTTGGCCAGGCTGGTCTCGAACTCCCAACCTCAAGTGACCCACCCATCCTGGCCTCCTAAAGTGCTGGAATTACAGGCATGAGTCACTGCATCTGGCCTAAAGTCATTTTAATCTCCCTATGCTTTAGTTTCCTCACCTGTAAAGTAAGAATGAAAATAGATTCTATCTCAGTTAGGACTGCTATGATGACTTAATGAGTTAGTATCTGTACAGCATTTAGAAAGTACCAGGCAGGCTGGACACAGTGGCTCATGTCTGTAATTCCAGCACTTTGGGAGGCCGTGGTGAGAGGGTTGTTTGAGGCCAGGAGTTCAAGATCAGCCTGGGTAACAGGGCAAGACCTCGCCTCTACAAAGAATTTAAAAACATTAGCCAGGCATGGTGGTACAGCTAGCTCGGAGGCTGAGGCAGAAGGAACATTTGAGCCCAGGAGATAGAGGCTGCAATGAGCCATGATCAAACCACTGCACCCTAGCCTGGATGATTGTGAGACCCTGTCTCTTTATTAATGTATCATTCATTCATTCATTCATTTATTTGAGCCAGGGTCTCACTCTGTTTCCCAGACTGGAGTGCTAGATCTTGGCTCATCGCAGCCTCTGCCTCCCGGGCTCAAGCGATCCTCCCACCTCAGCCTCCTGAATACCTGGGACTACAGGCACATACCATCACACCATATACCCAGCTAATTTTTGTATTTTTTGTAGAGACAGAGTTTTGCCATGTTGCCCAGGCTGGTCTCGAACTCCTGGGCTCAAACAATCTGCCAGCCTCAGGTCTGCAAAGAGCTAGAATTATAGACGTAAGCCACCACGTTCAGATCTCTTCTTAGAAAAAAAAAAAAAAAGAAAGAAAGAAATTGCTGGGCACATAGTAATTGTTAGCTTTCATCATCATCATCATCAAACACATCTTGATTACCTTTCTCTTGAATAACTGCTTTTTTGTTCTGATATTTGTGCGAGGTGACTTCCTCCTTGGCCCTATTAATAACTGATGTGCTGGAAGTTGGCAAAAGTGGTTCACAATGATCTGATGCTGGGGTGCAGGCTGATTTTCTTTTTCCTCTGTTTCTTCTACTAGATGCCTGGGCAACTGCCTTCCTAGACAAGTCATTGTCTTCAGTGGGCCCAGTGGGAGAGTTGACTTTAGTTAATGAGAAAAGTTTCTGAGAGTTTCTTGAACTCGGTTGTCCTGTGCATGTGTCAGACATCCGAATTTCACTTCGGTCGGTTTCCTCATTGGAAAGGTTTAAATTTTTACTTGCATCCTTATTTTTATTTTTACACCCTTTCTTTTTGACATCCAAATGATTCTGAATGACAGCCTCCACGGCTACTTTCCTCTGGCAATTGGACATGCTTCGTGTTGTTCTAACATAATATTCTGCAGGAAACAGAAGACCTTCAAGCATTGTGCAAGAATGTTTTTCTGCAGAAAGAGGAGAAGTTGCTTCTAGGCTAAGACTCTTAGGTTGACTTAGAATACCATTTTCCTGAAGATTTTCATTTCTGCCATCAAGAGCATCGCTGGGAGATTTTTCTGTTTGATTTTGTTCTTTTAAGTTTTGGTTTTCATTTGCTGATAAGTTATTGTGAGTGAGTTCATTTGTAGAACATGAAATATCTGCCTCTAAATTAGAACTTGTGAGCAGATGGCCACTTACAGCTTTATTTACAACCAGGTTCTCTGTAGAGACAGTTACTTTTTTGCCCTGTGCCTCCAAACTTATAGGTGAAGTAAATCTAATGCTTTTTAGGCCGTGAGTAGTAAGCTCACTGCTACCTTTAGGAGGAATATGTTCAAAGTGCTGACTCCTTCTACTATCTGATGGAGTCTGTAAAGGAACTGTAGTCGTCTTGGTGAAATTAGTTCTTAGGAGTGTATCAACACCTTTTTCTGGTTGGGCAGTTGGTGGAATTAATATACTGTCTCCATTAGTTTCTGTAATTGGTTCTGGAGAATCCAGAAGTTCAGACTGAAGAGTTAAAAAGTGGGTTCTTATTTCAGCTACTGGTGATCTAGTAGGATTTTTGCTGCTCATTTCTTCCTGTTCCTTTAGGCTTTTCCCAGACTGTCTGAGTGAATCAGTGTCAAAGACACAGTCTCTCTCCTGTGAAATAAATGTTCTTTTCTGCTGCTTCTTACTTCTCCTTGGCAGTTTCTGTTTTTTCTCACTATCAGGGTCACTGACCCTGTGTGGGAAATGTTCTTGGGTGTCATCTGTTCTTTGTATAGGTAATCCTCCTGGGCCATCTCCAGGATTAGAAGACTCAGGCCCAACATCAAGTGTGATAGATGTCTTTTCTCCAGTTTCTTCATCAAGATGGGTTTTGATGTGTAACTTGTTATAAAGAGATATTTTATTTTTAAGTTCTGAAGAGGAAAAAAAAGGTATATACGTTATTTGTCTTATAAAATGAAACAAAAAGTACTCTATTTTTTAACCTATTATATATAAATACTACTAAACATTTATTCAAGAAAGAGTCAGTGGCATTTCATTCAGGCAGATGAATTTACAGGTGAAGTAAAACTGTTTTTTTTTTTTTTTTTTGGAGACAGAGTTTCGCTCTTGTTACCCAGGCTAGAGTGCAATGGCACGATCTCGGCTCACCGCAACCTCCGCCTCCTGGGTTCAAGCAATTCTCCTGCCTCAGCCTCCTGAGTAGCTGGGACTACAGGCACGCACCACCATGCCCAGCTAATTTTTTTGTAGTTTTAGTAGAGACGGGGTTTCACCATGTTGACCAGGATGGTCTCGATCTCTTGACCTCGTGATCCACCCGCCTCGGCCTCCCAAAGTGCTGGGATTACAGGCTTGAGCCACCGCGCCCGGCGGTAAAACTGTTTTTTAGGCTGTGAGTAGTAACTTCACTGTTACCTTTAAGAGGAGTATGTTCAAGGTGCTGACTACTTCTACCATCTGATGGAGTCTGTAAAGGAACTGTATGTATTCCATACCATACATACTTTTAAAAGTCCTAATTTTTTTTTCAGTCTCTGTAGAGACTGTCAAAAATTGCCAATGCCAACTATATTTCAAGTTGTCATGGCAGGGTATTGGGAAAAGTTTTCAATTAGCAATAATCGCACCTTGGATAAACCTCATTGGCTACGATACTGCCACTGCACAAAGCTAAAAGTCCTAATTTTTTTAATTCAAATAATCTATGAAATTTTAAGTACATGTAAAACAAATAGTATTGTGCTAAAAATGTGTTTTAAATAGAGTATTATCACACAACCCTTTCTCTTAATTTTTAAATCTCAACTAATTTTTTATTTCATGTATTTTTTTTTTTTTTTTTTGAGGTTGTGTTTTGCTCTTGTTGCCCAGGCTGGAGTGCAATGGGAGTGATCTCAACTCACTGCAACCTCTGCCTCCTGGGTTCAGGCGATTCTCCTGCCTTGGCCTCCCAATTAGCTGGGATTACATGGATGCGCCACCATGCCTGGCTAATTTTGTATTTTTAGCAGAGACGGAGTTTCTCCATGTTGTTCATACTGGTCTCGGACTCCTGACCTCAGGTGATACACCCGCCTCAGCCTCCCAAAGTGTTGGGATTACAGGTGTGAGCCACCGCGCCTGGCCTATCTCAGGTATTTCTTTTATTTTCCCCTTGACTCAAGTAATTTTCATAACCTTCCCTTTTTATTAACCCTCAATTTTATTATTACAAATTACTTGAATTTTAACATCAGAATTGACCATTGGTTTTAGAGTATTTTTACTCAGATTTTTTTCTCTGTTCATATATACATAAATTTTAAAAAGCTTTCTAAAATTTAAACAATAAATATAATTTCTGAAAGTTGAGAAGGGAAAAAAAGTGAAGAGAGGAAAAAGAGCAACTAATAAACAGTATAACTGAAAGCAGAGTCTATAGAGTAGATTTTATGGCATATTAATTTTATGTTAATTAGAGTATACTGCAGCTGGGAGCAGTGGCTCATACCTGTATCCTAGCGCTTTGGGAGGCCCAGGCGGACAGATCACTTGAGGCCAGGAGTTTGAGACCAGCCAAGCCAAGATGGCGAAACCCTGTCTCTACTAAAAATATAAAAATTAGCCAGGTGTGGTAGTGTGTGTGCCTGTAATCCTAGCTACTTGGGAGGCTGAGGCATGAGAATCACTTGAGCCTAAAAGGTGGAGATTATAGTGAGCCCAGACTGTGTCATTGCACTCCATCCTGGGTGACAGAATGAGACTCTGTCTCAAAAAATAAAAATAAAAATAAAACTGAAGTGTCTATTGCTAGTCATTATCTTCACGGTGGGAAAAAGAACAACAGCCAAAATACACCTGGGAAATGAATAATAAAGCAGGCATAAGTGAATGGTCTAGATTTACCTGAGTGGTTTAGCTGTGGTGAGAATTCCTGCTGGGACAAGCGATCTTGTTCTTCTACTGTTTTCTTACTAGAATGCCTTATTTTTTCAGCTCTTTGAGCACGCTAGAGGAAACAAAAACAGCCCAAGAAATACATTTTCTTTAAAGCTTTATTAGAGTCAGGAACCGTTTTCAAATTGTTTGTACTACAACACCTTAATTTGAGAATACGATTCACTTACCTGAAGGCGGGCTAGTGTCTTGCTGTATTCCCTTTTCAAGAATGCTAATTTCTCCTTTAACTGGAAGAAGAAAAACACCAACAATACTGGGCAAGTGGAAAGGCGGAGTCAGAGGGAAGGGATGCAGTGCTTGGCAGAGTCCCTTAGCAAGAGGCAGCGAGTAGCACTGGTCCCTAACAATCTACTTTCAGTTCTCAAAAAGCACCAAGCTCTTGACCATTTCATAATCTTTGCATAACCTGTTCCTGTCACTTGGAACATTTCAAGCCTTAGCTTAGATTTTTATTTCCCTGGAATAGACTACTGGGTCCTTCTCCAAATCTAGGTTAGACACTCTACCAGTCCTCTTACTTCCTTTATCACAATATTATCACATTTTGTTATCTGTTTACATCTCTGTTTCTCCCCATTGCCCAGATCCATGAAGGTGGCAGGGACTGTCACCCTCAGTCATTTAACAAATGAATCTTTTGTCAATTAATGGTCCAAGTATCTCTGGTACCTGGGACAACAACCGATACCCGCTATGTGGCAATTATTGCTACAGATGCTATTCCAATGCAATTCACATACAGTGAGAAATACATATAATAAGAAAACAGAGAAAATGATTTTACAAGGTAATAAATAACTAGATAGATAAACAGAGTGATGTGAGAGAGTTACTAGCCTACTGATAGGGACTACTTTAGTTAGAGTGGTCAGGGAGGCATTTTTGAGGACCATCATTTGAGCCTAAGATTGAAGGAGGAAGGAGCTAGTTTTGGGAAGATCAGAGGGAATGGTACTCCAGGCAGAGGGCACCACAAATATAAAGTATCTGCAGTGGAATGGGCTATGTGTGTTTGAGGAACACGCAGAAGGCCAGTGAAGCTGGAGCTATCACTGCTGAATCCCCAGCCAGGCACACAGTAGGCATTTAACAAAGATTTATTAAATAAATAAATGAATTGGGCTGAATCAAATTACTGTTCTCTGAAAGTCTAGATTCCCTTGTCTCTCTGGCTTCTTTGGTTCAAAGGATTCTCTCAGCAGCAAATCCAGCCCAGGTTTTTCTGCTTTTTAGGAACTTTTTAGCTATACTAATCTTTCAACTAACAAAACATCAAGATTTCCATCCTCCATATACACCTTAAAAAAAAAGAACTACTCAGCTGGGTGCGATGGCTCACACCTGTAATCTCAGCATTTTGGGAGGCCAAGGCGGGCAGATCATCTAAGGTCAAGAGTCTGAAACCAGCCTGGCCAACTTGGTGAAACCCCGTCTCTGCTAAAAATACAAAAATTAGCCGGGAGCGATGGTGAGCGCCTGTAATCCCAGCTACCCCGGAGGCTGAGGCAGAATCGCTTGAACCCGGGAGGGGGAGGTTCCAGTGAGCCAAGATCACGCTATTGCACTCTAGCCTGGGCGACAGAGTGAGACTTGTCCTAAAAAACAAAAGCAAAAATCAACTATGTGCAAAACATGGTACTAGACAAGCTGCCAATTGTGGATTTTTCTTTTCTTTTTTTTTTTTTTTTTTTTGAGTCTCACTCTGTCGCCCAGCCTGGAGTGCAGTGGTGCGATCTCGGCGTCGACTTCAAGCGATTCCTGTGCATCAGCCTCTGAGGCCTGTGCCTCTGGGACTATAGGCGGGCATCACCACACCCGGCTAATTTTTGTATTTTTAGTAGAGACGGGGTTTCACTACGTTGCCTAGGCTGTTCTCAAACTCTGAGCTCAAGCGATCTAGCCATCTCAGCCTCCTAAAGTGCTGGGATTACAGGCGTGAGCCACGAGACTGGCCTCCCACCAATCTTATCAATGTCTGGGGATAATCCTGTTTACCTATAAATGCTCTTTCTCACCCCCAAAGAAGGTAAGCGATAAGAATATCAGCAAAAACTGGAAACATCCTAAACGTCTATCAGTAAAGTACAGTCTAAAGAAGCAAGGGCACTTCCAAGGTCAGGCACGGTGGCGAGCGCCTATAATCCCAGCTACTCGGGAGGCTGAGGCAGGACAGTCGCTTGAACCCGGGAGGCGGGGGTTGCAGTGAGCCTCCATGGCGCCACTGCACTTCAGCATGGGTGGCGGAGTGGGATTCTTGTCTCAAAAAACAAGAAGAAAAGAAAGGAAAAGAAAAGGAAAAAGAACTTACTTTCATTTTTAAGTTCCAGACAGTATTTTTGTTACAAAAATTTGTTACAAAATACTGACTAGAACTTTAAAATGAAAGTAAGTTAGATCAACATGTCCTGACAGGAACGCCAAGCAGGGGTATGAAAAATGGAGCCTGCAGAACCGTTCAGATCAGACCATTTATGAACTTTCCCTTCTCCAAAAAATCCGCATAGGATTCCTTTTAGGTGGTTAGGGATACGTCCCTCCTCCACCACACACACGAACACACCAAAGGACCTGGAAGTACCAGACTTAAAACCTGTACTTGAGGAGGTGGGGCGGGAGAAGTGAAGATTGAGAGTGCGGGAGGGGGAGGAGCAAGGGCGTCGATACAGCTTTATCTGCAAAGTGTTACACACTGCATTAACGCATTGCTACTGTAACGAGATTTGTTCTTTAAACACCACCACGTCGGCACCACGCTATTTCTACATTTTCATTTTCTGTGCCCCCTCAGCCCTGAGAGGAGGAGAGGTCAGACGATCCTGCTGCCCTCGGATCGCCGATGACATAAAGCCAGGCCTGAAACCCTGAGAAAGAGGGTCAGAGTCCTGCGTCCGCCCTTCCCGCACCCCCTGGCACCTTTTCCTTCTCCTCACAGCTGAGGGGCTTCCCGGGAGGCTCTTCCATTGGGCAGGCGACAGAACGAAAAGAGCGGCCGTCGCCAACCCCAGGCCTGCCGACACCGGGACCCAGTTGTTTCTGGGCCGCGGAGGCGCCTCGAGGAGGATTGGGGAGCCCCAAATCGCCCCCTCAGTGCACGATCAGCTGACCCACGCGGGTCTGGCGCGCCCTAAACTCCGGCCAATTAAATCCACCGTTCTGTCTGCGCACGCGCAGCCGGTGACAGCCGAGCACTGGAGCTAGGCCGCCGAAAGGAGAGCCGCGCTGTCGATGAGACTCGGCGGTCCACCTAGAGCGGAAGTGGAGGAGCGGCCGGAAGTAGCCGGAATCTCAGAAAGACTGACCGACTGACTCTGACAGGAGCTGGGTCTGAGGGAAGGAGGCGGCGGCCATGGAGTTGGGCGAGCTGCTTTACAACAAGTCCGAGTACATCGAGACGGTGCGCGTGTCCAGATAGCTACCCTCCCTTTTCCAAGCCTGCGTCCCTTTGAGGCCTGGGTCGGCGGCCCCAACCTGACCCTACCCCACCACCCTGGTCCCTTTGGCCGATAGTCCCGGAGTATCTGGCGACGCTCCCTGTACGGTCTGGCTTTGCTCTTTACCCCGGGCATGGCTAGTTTAGGCTTTTTGTATTTATTCTTGCTTTTCTCATAGGGATAAAGTGCTTTTAGGAGGGTAGGACAAGTCCCATCCTGTTAATATGAATTACAGCTCGGGCTTCTGGCCCTTTTACACTGCCTTTTGTAATCTGTTAACTTGTGCTAAAAACGATTAGGCTCTTTTTGAGGGGGGCGGGGGACGGAGTCTTGCTCTGTCGCCCAGGCTGGAGTGCAGTGACGCGATCTCGGCTCACTGCAACCTCCACCTCCCGGGTTCAAGTGATTCTCCTGCTTCAGCCTCCCGAGTAACTGGGATTACAGGTGCCTGCCACAACGCCCGGGTAATTTATATAGTTTTAGTAGAGACGGGGTTTCACCATGTTGGCCATGCTGGTCCCGAACCCCTGACCTCAGGTGATCCACCCGCCTGGGCTTCCCAAAGTGCTGGGATTACAGGCGTGAGCCACCGCGCCCTGCCGATTTGGTTCTTTATGATCAGCGCATGATGTTTGTAAAATCCTGGAAGCAGGGCAGGTAGTCAATTAACATTACTATTTTTTGTTTTTTCTGTTTTTATTTTTCCGAGAGAGAGTCTCACTTTTTTGCCTGGCAGTAGCGCTATCTCGGCTCACTGAAACCTCCCGTTTCCCAGGTTCAAGCGATTCTCCTGCCTCAGCCTCCTGAGTAGCTGAGATATCAGCCTGACATCATGCCCAGCTAATTTTTTGTATTTTTTAGTAGACAGGTTTCACTATGTTGCCCAGGCTGGTCTTGAACTCCTGACCTCGTGATTTGTCTGCCTCCGCCTGCCAAAGCGCTGGAATTATGGGCGTGAGCCACCATGCCTGACCAGCATTACTATTGTTATTTTGGCTTTCTTTGCATTCTCACAACTCTGATATTCATAAAGTCATTATACTCGTTTTAGGGCTATAAAGCTTAAGAAGTGAGACTTGAATCCACGTCTGTCTAATGCCACTAAGCTATACACATTGAAATTTCTGGGTTCATTCCTTGAGTCCCTAGTTTCCTTTTTTTTTTTTTTTTTTTTTTTTTTTTTTTGAGACAGGGTCTCAACTCTATTGCCCAGGCTGGAGTGCAGTGGCACAATCACGGCTCATTGTAGCCTTGACCTCCCAGGCTCAAGAGATCCTCCAGCCTCAGCCTTCTGAGGAACTGGGACTATACACACTGCCACCATGAGCAGCTAAATAAAAAAATTTTTTTTTGCAGAGAAGGGGTCTCACTATGTTGCCCAGGCTGGTCTTGAACTCCTGGCCTCAAGGGATCCTCCTGCCTCAGGTTCTCAAAGTGCTGAGATTACAGGTATGAGCCACCACGCTCAGCCATAGTTTCCTCATCCATCGTTGCGTTTTTGATATCCTGGACTCACTCTGTCATGGACAGCACCCCACTTTTAAGTTTTTTCCTCTCAAACATGAGCTTTCTTGACAGAAACCTTTAGTCCAGAAACCCAGTAAGTTTGCTCACCCCGGTTTTCTATTGTTTTCTTTTAGGCATCTGGGAACAAAGTCAGTCGCCAGTCGGTGTTGTGTGGAAGCCAGAACATCGTTCTCAATGGCAAGGTAAGGGACAAAGCCTGCTCCAGGCTACAAACCCCTTAGTTTGCTTTCTGCTAATTATCACATTAGCAGGGCAGATAAAATGTTGCCATATCTCCCATTTATTGTTGTGCATTTTCAATTCTCTTGTTTTCAAATTTTTTATTCTCTCAGTTGAATCTCCTTTCTTTTCTTTTTCTTTTTTTTTTTTTTTTTTGAGACTCTGTCACCCAGGCTGGTGTGTAGTGGCCCCATCTCAGGTCACTGCAACCAACATCCGCCTTCTAATTTTAACCAGTTCTCCTGCCTCAGCCTCCCGAATAGCTGTGATACAGGCACCTGCCACCAAGCCCGGCTAATATTTTGAACTTTTAGTAGAGACAGGGTTTCACCATGTTGGACAGGCTGGTCTCGAACATCTGCCCTCAAGTAATCCACCCACCTTAGCCTCCCAAAGTGCTGGGATACAGACATGAACCACTGCGCCCGGCCTAAGTAAGATCTCTTGGATGCAAAAAGGTTCAATAAGAGGCAGCAGAAAACCTTTCTCCCTTTATGCCAGGAACAAAATACAATGGTACCTAGAACCAACATTATTGTACGATATTACAGTGTGCATTAAACTACTGGACACAGTGTAATCGATAATGAAATATTTGAAGATAGAAACTAAAATAATACTCATAAACTTACCTGTTTAGTAATAATAATTCACTATGAAGTGAATCTCTTAAAACGAATGTGAGAATTGGAAAAGATATTAAAGTATGAGACAAATATGCAAAGTGGAATCTGAAAGGTTGAGAATCTTGTAATCAAAATAAATTTAAATAGCAAAGAGAAGAGTATAAACTGGGAAGAAAATATCACAAGGTATATTTGAGCTTGGCAAACAGTGAAGTTCACAGTTGTTTTCCTGATATCTGGAACACTCAATTTTGAAAATAATTTTTCTTTAAATGTTACATGTCTAACTTCTAGAAGGAAAGTAGTCTCATTATAACCAAGAGATCACAAATATTTTCAGTAGAAGCACAATTAGTCTTCATTAAGCCTGTCATACCAAGGAATTAAGTGAAAAAGAAATATAATTCAGTAATTGCTGCCCAGAGATACTGTTTCTCTTCTTTTTTTTTGAGACAGAGTTTCACTCTGTCACCCAAGCTGGAGCGCAGTGGCGCAATCTCAGCTCACTGTAACCTCTGCTTCCCAGGTTCAGGTGATTCTGTCTCAGCCTCCCAAGTAGCTGGGACTATATGTGTGTGCCACCACACCTGGCTAATTTTTGTATTTTTAGTAGAGATGAGGTTTCACCATGTTGGCCAGGCTGGTCTCAACTCCGAACCTCAAGCGACCCATCTGCTTCTGCCTCCCAAAGTGCTGGTATTACAGGTGTGAGCCACCTTGCGCAGCCCCAGATTTTTTTTTTCCCACAGTGAACTATATATAACAAAAGTTGCCATTTTAGCAATTTTTAAAAAATTTTTATTCTTTGAGACAGTCACCCAGGCTGGAGTGCAGTGGCGCAATCTCAGCTTACTGTAACCTCTACCTCCCAGGTTCAAGTGATTCTCTTGCCTCAGCCTCCTGAGTAGCTGGGATTACAGGCGGGCACCACCACACTAGAGACAGGGTTGGCCAGGCTAGTCTTGAACTCCTGACCTCTGGTGATCTGCCTGTCTTGCCCTCCCAAAGTAGTGGGATTACAGGCATGAACCACCGCTCTTGGCTTACTATAATAAGTTTTTAATTATGAGTCCTCCATGTTTGTTCTTTTGTAAGATTGTTTTGCCTATTGAGGGCTCTTTGCTTGTTTTTTTTTTTTGGATATGGAGTGTTGTTCTGTTGCCCAGGCTGGAGTACAGTTGCACAATCTTGGCTCACTGCAGCCTCCGCCTTCCAGATTCAAGTGATTGTCCTGCCTCAGCCTCCCCAGTACCTGGGATTACAGGTATGCCCCACCACGCCTGGCTAATTCTTCTGTTTTTAGTGGCAACGGGGTTTCACCATGTTGGCCAGGCTGGTCTTGAACTCCTGACCTCAAGTGATCTGCCCGCCTCGGCCTCCCAAAGTGCTGGGATTATAAGCATGAGCCACCACACCTGGCTGCCCTTTGCTTTTTAAAGATGTTTACTTTGGCAGTATTTTGTGTATACAAAAGAATATATGTGACACATGTTATAAAGCATAAAATTAAATCAACACCAGTGAACCCAATACTCAGCTGAAGAATTGGAATGTAATTGGTATACAGTAAGTCCCATTTTTATATTCCTCCCCTATTCCTGTTTTTGCCTCCCTCCAAGAGGAAACCACTGTCCTGATTTTGTGTCTTATAAATTCTTTGTTATTTAAACAAATTTTCCACATATCCCTAAATAATATATATTGTTTAACTTTACTTGGTTTTCTATGGCTTATTTTTATTTAAAAAAATCTTTATTTTATTTATTTGTTTAATTTTTTTGAGACAGGGTCTCACTTTGTTGCCCAGGCTAGAGCGCAGTGGCACAATCACAGATCACTGCAGCCTTGACCTTCCAGGCCAGGCCAGGCTCGGCTCAGGCGAACCTCCCACCTCAGCTTCCTGAGTGGCTTGGACTATGGGCATGCATCACCATTTTTTTTTTTTTTTTTTTTGAGACCGAGTCTCACAAATTTTTTTAAAAAATTTTTATTCTTTGAGACAGTCACCCAGGCTGGAGTGCAGTGGCATGATCTCGGTTCACTGCAACCTCGGTGTCCTTGGTTCAAGTGATGCTCATGCTTCAATCTCCCGAATAGATGGGATTACAGGTGCACACCACCATGTCTGGCTAATTTTTGTATTTTTAGTAGAAATGGGGTTTAACCATCTTGGCCAGGCTGGTCTTGAATTCCTGACCTCAAGTGTTCCACCTGCCTCAGCTTCCCAAAGCACTGAGATTACAGGTGTGAGCCACCACACCTGCCCCTATTTATAGTTTTTTTTAGAAACCTTCATACTGTTCTCCAAGTGGCTATACTAGTCTACATTCCCACTGTTAAAACCGGGCGAGTCAGAAGGAAAGCACCACGCTCTGAGTTCCAAATTAGGAGAACTTTATTAGCTGACCACTGAGAGACGGCTAATGCTCAAAATTCTCCCGGCCTCAAGGAAGGGGCTGGATTCCTTTTTATACCGTACTTAAGGCAGGGGAGGGGAGAGCCTAGCTGAAGCAGAATTTACAGAAGCACAACAAGCAAGTTAGATAAGGAGGCTGGTAACTAGGAGGCAGGAGGTTTCCATGATTGTTGATTACCAAGGAGGGTATACACACGTGGTTCCCATGATTGCCGGTTACCGAGGTACGTATTCAGTACTTGCCATACAATCAATCAAGGGGTTATTCATAATAGCAAGTGGGCTTGCCAAGCAGGACATGATTACAGATTATATGCTTCTATAGTTCTAAGTACCGCATGACCCAGCACGGTAGCATGACCCAGGTATGCACTTAAGGGAGAAATGGCGGGAGTGGTTACGTGGAGGTTAAGATGGAGTCTCTCTGGCTTTCAGCAAGATGGAGCCTGTCAGGCTAACACAGGGTAGGTTAGCACACCACCAACAGTGGATGAGAGTTTCCTTTTCTCTGAATCCTCACTAGTATTTGTTATTTTTTGTCTTTATGATAAGCATCCTAACTGCGGTGAGATGATACTTCATTGTGGTCTTAATTTGCCTTTCTCTGATAATTAGTGATTTTGTTGTTGTTGTTTTGAGACAGACTCCCCATTCTGTTGCCCAAGCTGGAGTGTGGTGGTGTGATGTCGGCTCACTGGAACCTCTGCCTCCTGGGTTCAAGCAATTCTCCTGTCTCAGCCTCCTGAATTGCTGGGACTACATGCATGTGCCACCAAGCCCAGATGATATTTTGTATTTTTAGTAGAGACGAGGAGTCACTATATTGGTCAGGCTGGTCTTGAAACTCCTGACCTCAAGTGATCCACCTGCCTTGGCATCCCAAAGTACTGGGATTATAGGCGTGAGCCACCATGCCTGGCTGATTGGTGATGTTTAGTAAACATTTTTTAATATATTTGTTGGCCATTAGTATGTCTTTTGAGAAATGTCTATTCAAATCATTTGTCCATTTTTAAAAATCAGATTATTTGGGTTTTTTGCAGTTGAGATGTTTCAGTTCCTGTTTTAATATATTCTGGATGTTAATCTTGTGTTTGAAGCATAATTCGAAGATTTATTCTGCCATGTTTTCATTCTGTTGATTGTTTCTTATGCTGTGCAGGATCATTTTATTTGCTTTTGTCGTCTCTGATTTTGAAGTCTTACTCATCTTTTCCAAGACCAGTGTCTTTAAGCTTTTCCTGTTTCCTTCTAGTAGTTTTATAGTCCCAGGCCTTCCATTTAGGTCTTTAATTCATTTTGAGTTATAGGCCAGGTGCAGTGGCTTATGACTGTAATCCCAGCACTTTGGGAGGCCGAGGTGGGCAGATCACTTGAGATCAGGAGTTCAAGACCAGCCTGGCCAATATGATGAAACCCCGTCTCTACTAAAAATACAAAAATGAGCTGGGTATGGTGGTGGATGCCTGTAATTCCAGCTACTCGGGAGGCAGCGGCAGGATAATTGCTTGAACCTGGGAGGTAGGGTTGCAGTGAACCAAGATCACCCCACTGCAGTCCAGCCTGGGTGACAGAGCAAGACTCCATCTCCAAAAAAAAAAGGCCCATTATCTATTTTTACCTTGATCCATGGTAGTCATCTAAAGGGTCAGTTTTTCTCAAGTCTGTCACCTGTATCCTTCATGCAGAGATGCCAGGCTGCTTCCAGAGTAGTAATATGGAAATTTGTGTATGTTAATCCTGTTTACAGTATTGGGGCCAGGTGCCGTGTCTTATGCCTGCAATCCCAGCACTTTGGGAGGCTGAAGTTGGAGGATTGCATGAGCCTATCAGTTCAAGACCAGTATGGGCAACATAGGGAGGCTCCATCTCTACAAAACATTTTTTTAAAAATTGGTGGGGTGTAGTGGCACACACCTGTAGTCCTAGCTGCTGAGAAGGCTGAGGCGGGAAGATCCCTTGAGCCCAGGAGCTCAAGATTGCAGTGAGCTATGATTGTGCCGCTGCTTGCAGCTTGGGCAACAGAGTGAGACCCTATGTCTTAAAAAATTTTTTTTTGTTTTGTTTTGAGACAAAGTCTCACTCTTGTCACCAAGGCTGGAGTGCAATGGCACAATCTCGGCCAACTGCAACCTCCGCTTCCCAGGTTCAAGTGATTCTTCTGCCTCAGCCTCCTGATTAGCTGGGATTACAGGCGCCTGCTACCATGCCTGGCTGATTTTTGTATTTTTTAGTAGAGACAGGGTTTCACCATGTTGGCCAGGCTGGTCTTGAACTCCTGACCTTAGGTGATCTGCCCACCTCAGTCTCCTAAAGTGCTGGGATTACAGGCATGAGCCACCGCACCCAGCCAGAAAATTTTTTTTAATGAAATATTTTATTGACTGCTTATATCCTCTAGGAAAAACGTCTAAGCTTCTATGCTTAGCATACATAATTCCTCATAATCTACTAGCATGTCCGTTGTTTACTTTTTCCAGCTATAACTCCAGCATATGCACTTTTTAACCTCATTCATTTATTCAGCAGGCATTTTAAGGGTGCCTACACAAGTATAAGGCATTAATTCTCCCAGACATGCGGGTTGTGTTACTCAGTCTCTCTGGGCAACTTCTGGGGAAGCCACATCTTACACCCTGCAGTATAGCACTTAATCTGAATTCAGAGGTTGGGAGATGAACCCTAACTCCAGTGGGTCTACCTCTGGGAACATGGAGTTGGAGGTGGTATTCTAACTGCTGTCTACAAAGGTATAGCAGCCAAAACTCTTGGTAAGCAAGCAGCCAAGCCTTCAGGGCATGAGGACCTGAGTAAATCTAAAGAGACACATAAGCCATATCTGCTATAGGTGTTCTCAATAAGTGCTCATTCAATGAGTCCTGTTCATAGGGAATTAAGGGGAAAGCTTGTGATGTACTAGGAGCATCGCTAACTGCATCACTGTCATGAGGGCAGTTTTTTTCTTTACCTTACAAGTTATTCCTTTTGGCGCAGCATTTGAAATGTTCTGTCAAAGTTCTGTCAGAATCAGTATCTTGTTATCTGTTCTTTTTTGTTACGTCTTAGGCTGTGTTGCTAATTTTTAAAAATTGCATTGTCTTACAGACCATTGTGATGAATGACTGTATTATCCGAGGGGATCTGGCAAACGTAAGAGTTGGGCGCCATTGTGTTGTGAAAAGTCGTAGTGTCATAAGGCCACCATTCAAGAAATTCAGCAAAGGGTATGTAATTTAATTACTTTGTTTGGGTCTTGGGCAAGAAGCTGCCACGGGTGGTGTGGTCCATGTGTTGAGTTGTGTTATAATGAGTAGGCCTGTCCTGTTGTTTGAAGCACTGAGTAAGAGTTTACCATAATGAATGCAACTCTGCTGGTGATTGTCTCAGTCTGGTTGATGATTGGTTGCCACAAACAGAATCTGCTTATCCCCTGGCAAAAGCAAAGGGTTTCTGATCAAACAGATTGGCATATATAATAGGATCTAAGAGTAGGAAAAGGAGGAAGCCAGGCCTCACAAAGGACCGGAACCTGGAATTGGACAGCTAGCCGGAATCAAGACTGTTTTGTCTACGTACACCTCTCTGTATCTGAGATTGCATTTTTTCTCCTATACTGCCCTTCTTTCTGCATTTCTACTTCCTTTTCTCTCTCACAGATACCTGCCCCGTTTGTTCATGGAGCCTACCTTGCTGACTCAGCCTGAATTTATATCGTTTCTCCATTTAGGCCTCCAGCAGACATTGACCAGAGTTCTTATGTCTTATTTCTAAACTTCTAAGAGAAAGAATCTGATTGGCTCACCTTAAGCATCCCTGATTTGAATGGCTTTGACCCAGAGGGCTAAGTCAAGTCAGGTCCACTGATCCTTTAAGTGGGAATAATGACTGTCCAAGAAAGGCCGTGGATAGAGCAGGCAAACGGACCACCGTAGCTGATATGGTGCTAAAGTATTCTTTTTGCCTCTTTGCCGCTATCCTCCTTGGCTAATTGCCCTCCTGGCACCCATCTGTATTTCAACCAATAAGTCAGCAAGCATTTATTGAGTACCTTCCTCATGCCCACAACTGGGTCGTAAGCTGAGAATGTATAAAAATAGATAAAGTTCCTGCCTCAAGGTTCCCAAAGTCTAGTGGTAGAAACAATTAACATATTCAGATAGTGACATGTGACAGCTACTATATGATGTGATATACTTGTCACAGGGGTATCAAACTTGGAATTTTTAATTTAAAATTAAAATTAAAGAACTGTCAGTACTGCTACAGACGGTGATGAGATCAAAGAATGCATTACCACACAAGAGGAACAGACCAAAAATACTAATGGACCAAAATACAAATGGGCCAAAAATACTAATTAAGGAAAATTTAAATAAATTACAGATTCATAGAGGACAGGTATTATCTCTGAAAAAATATTCCAGACCGAATAGAACAGAATTGAAAGGAGCTAATGAACATCTTGCTCTTTATATTCATTCCAGTCCAAATATTTTACATCCCAAGATATAGCAACTACATATGAATGTGATCACAGAACCACTGTCAGTGACATTTGAAGAACCCTAGAGAATGGGATGGGAGTGATGTCAGATATCTGGGGAAAGCCTGCCTATTCCTACTCAAAGTCAATTAGGTTTTGCCTAAAGCCGTGGACTAGGAAAGGTCTCCTTGTTATATATGCTCATAACTTGATATTATGTTTCTGTAGCCCTTATCATAGTTGTCACTACTCATTATTTAATCTCATTTCTTTTCTTGATTGTAAGCTGCCCACGGACAGGGTTGTGTCTCTTTTGTCACTCTTACATTCCTGATTTCTAGGATTGAGTCTGGCACATAGTAGGCACTCAGTAAAATCTGTGAATGAATAAATTTTTAGAATGCTGAATGTGAAAGTTATAACTCATGAACCTAAAGTCAATCCCCTGGAACATTATAGGGAAGCTTACTAAAAATGTGATCTGTGACCATTTTCAAAGGAAGTGGGAATGAACAAACATTCATTGATTTTTATTTGGTACCTGTTCTTTTAGCTTTGAAGATCTTGCTCCTCCTGCCTTGCTTTTTCCTTGCATATTTCTTTGGTGTAATATTTCAATTTTGAGCTAGTAATCACATTCATTTTCTTCATCATGGTAGAATTTTTCTAGCCTGAGGTTTCTTTCCTTGCTGGGAACAGTCTTATTAACATGATAAATTTCAGATTATGATCTGTAGTTCTATAAACCTTGACCCAAAGTATATCACCTTGACCTTTCTTTGTTCATCTTCTTTTCCTCCTCTAGTGTTGCATTCTTTCCTTTACACATTGGGGACCATGTCTTTATTGAGGAAGATTGTGTGGTCAATGCAGCTCAGATTGGTTCCTACGTTCATGTTGGCAAGAACTGTGTGATTGTGAGTATGATGACTTGCTGTTGAAGCAGGCTCACCTTCCCTCCAGCTCCCATCCCTTATATCAGTGGGACTCTTACCAAGCAGGGTAGCAGTAGTTTCCAGTCTTCCCAAAGTTGGGTTTCTCTTGACAGATTTGGAATTTTTTTTGACCATGCGCAGTGGCTCTTGCCTATAATCCCAGCTCTTTGGAAGGTCAAGGCCAGCGGATCACTTGAGGTCAGGAGTTTGAGGCCAGCCTGGCCAACATGGCAAAACCCTGTCACAACAAAAATACAAAACTTAGCTGGGCATGGTGGCAGATTCCTGTAGTCCCATCTACTCAGGAGGGTGAGGCAGGAGAATGTTTTCAACCCAGGAGGCGGAGGTTGCAATGAGCCAAGATTGCATCACTGCCCTCCAGCCTGGGCGACAAAATGAGACACTGTCTCAAAAAAAAAAAAAAAAAAAAAAAAAAAAGGATTTGACATATTTTCTAGACAGTAATATTGGCAAGCCTTTGGCAAGCCTCTACTCTATGATGTTAAACTCTTTCTTTTGATGATTTCATTTAATCCTCGCAACCATTCAGGGATATGAGGTGTTATCCCTGTTTGCAGATACAAAGATTGAGGAGCTTAAATATTAATGGATTTGGGGCCAGGTGTGATGGTTGTTGCCTGTAATCCCAGCACTTTGGGAGGCCAATGCAGGAAGTCCGTTGAGCCCAGGAATTTAAGACCAGCCTGGGCAACAAAGCAAGACCGTGTCTCTTGAAAAAACAAAAGTTAAGGGATTTTATACGGCTAGAAAGTGATAGACTGGGATTTAAACCCATCTGCAAGTAATTCAGGGTGCAAGTGGGCCCCTTGCTCAGCAGAATCTTTAGGACCCTGATCCATTGGAGCCTAGGAATTGGCTGATTTAACCCAACTGAGGAGGTGGAGGTTGCATTGAGCAGAGATCATCCCACTGCACTCCAGCCTGGGCAACAGAGTGAGACTTCGTCTCAAAAAAAAAAAGTGGTTTCAGCTTTTATCTCCTCAGCTATTACCAGTACATTTCATGCCTAAGAAATACCTACATTTAAAATGTTTAATTTGATTGATCAGTCTATCCAGACAGCTCCTGAAACCCAGCTAAGCATCATTTCTCTAAGTGGGCAAAATGGCCAACCAGTGGACAGAGCAGGTGCCTCCAGGCTGCATGGTGGCTGGTGTACACAGTGAAAATATTCTGTCAACTGGTCTTCTTTTCCAGGGCCCTTTGTCTGTGGATCCTTCCCTGGGACTATATCATGCCTTATGCAACATGTTGGGTGCTGTTTTACTCAGTGCCTCATGAGCTTAGTCTGAGTTAGTGTTTACTAGTAGGGGCTTAGGCATGACAGGAATTCTTTGGGATTATGTTAATTTGAGGTCACCAGGGCAGATAGTTAGTTGCTATATTTTTTAAATTGCCACTAGCAGGTAACCCATGGAAGAGAATTTTCCAAAGAGGAATGAAGAATGCATAATCCAAATAGTTGTAATATGCTTTTGAGCCAAAGATGTTGCCAACTATTACCAGGGCTGTTTTCCACCCAGCTGGAGAGAGATCAGCCACTTGGGAAATTCAGAGCTTGGAGGAACATGCTTTCATAAGAAGTTTATTTAGCAATCTACCTTTTCCTGGAAAAACATATGATTTAAGTGTTTAATAGTAGGGAAAAATTTAAACACAACCAAATCAAAGTGTCTTTCATGTTCTTTGCTAAAATCTGAGGTCTGGGCAGGTTAACATTGTCCTGGTATTTGTAAAGATTTCCACATTCTCAGTATAGGTATATTTTTTGATTGTCTAAGCAGGGTACCAGTAAACTAACAGGCCCTGACATAAATGCAATAAAAAATGACCAAAACTTTCATTTCGTCAGCAAGGAGTCTGAGGTACAGCTGTAAACTCTACACAGAAGCCCCACTTTTCCCTTAACCCATGAAAGATGAGTCTCTCAGACCTTACTTCTTGCTCTCTAAATGCTGTGGATCATGGCAGAATTGAAAAGTGGTGATAGTGGTTAAAGTCAAGATTGAGGTTCAAACATTCACATGACTATCACTCATCTGTGGGGGAACAATTGAACTAATAGTTTCATATCCAAATGAATTTGTCAGGATTTTTCCAGTTTGAATTGACAAAGGAGCAAACCAACCAACCAACCTTAAGCTGGTGGGTGCAGACTGGAATGGGTGGTGAATATAAACCAAGAGTACAGGAGTAGATCCTAATGTCATTGCCAAATGGCTCCGGGGTTCAGTCCATGTTGTGAGAATTAGTCTCCATCTCTGTGCTGCTTTCCTCTGGGAGGTTTACTCTCAGGCAGGTTCTTCCTTCATGGAAATAGATTGCTTATTCCAGCCTTCCAGCCTATGCTCTGGAAACCCCAGTGGGAAGTGCTGCTTTCCTCAGCAGTCCCAGCAGAAGCCCTGAGGTTGACGTCCATCAGACTAACTGGGATAATATGCTGATTGCCTACACCTGTCATTGTGTCCAGGATTGGGGTTTGGTGTGTGGGCTGGCAGGTAAGGCACATGGATGAGATGGGGATTGGAGGGTTACCAAGGAAAATACAGGTTCTGTTACCAGAAGAAGGGGAAATGGATGCTGGACAAGCAGAAGCATAGATGTCCACTAAAACACAGAGAAAATTAAAGAGAACTCATGGAAGTCTGAAATTCAGTCTGTAATGCCTGAGACATTGTCCTGTCTCTAGCATCCTGCCACCTTCCGCAAATGTACACAAACACAAACTCTCACAACCTTGCTGTCTCCTTCTTGTCAGGTACCACCTGAAGCAGGAAATTGCAACTCTTGTCACTATACTTGGCTATTACATGATATAATGAATGGGGAAAATAGAAAGGAGACTTTTACACAGAAGGCGAGACAACTTTTACTCGCATTTGCTGATCTATTTCCTATTAACAAGCTTTTAATTTCAGGGACGCCGATGTGTGTTGAAAGACTGCTGCAAAATTCTTGACAACACAGTATTACCTCCAGAAACTGTGGTCCCACCCTTCACTGTCTTCTCAGGCTGCCCAGGTAACCTTGGGTGTTCATTAATTTTAACTTCCTAAAACTCAGTTGTATTTTCCATCATAAAAGGAGTGCATACAGTTCTTACCTCTGGCAATATGTTGATAGAGTTCACTTAGAAATTCACCTGTACAAAGTACCTAGGAATGTAACCTAACATATAATGCAAGCATCTGTTTAAATGCATAATTGGGTTCACCAGTAAATAAGGAAATTATGAAGGGCCAAACACAAAGAGGAAACTAAATCCAAGCTTTAAGATTGCATGGCTTAATGCTGTCGGTTTAAGGAGTGATAGTCATGTTGGGATGGAAATAAAGCCTTGGATTCACACATGGCAGAGAGATCCTCAAATACTCTTAAAGGATTCCCTCTCAAGGAAAAGTTGATGTGGAACCAATCTGCCACCAACACAGGGAATGCACAAGAATGCATTTCTTGTCTGGCCTGGGCTTTGGATGGAAAAAGTCTGTCTAGAGAAGTTTAACTATGGGGTTACCCTCACATTGGTCATGGGTTTAATTTATGCATCTCACATGGCTCGGTGATACCTTGGGGATACCTGAGAGGGACAAATATTAATACATTATCTCTGGACCTTGACTAATAGAATGCTCACAGGTAAAGCCAGTCAGGAGCTTGGAGTTCCAAATTATAAAACATGTTAGGAAACGAAAGTGAAACATGCTTGTTTTAGAAAACTTGGAAAACACTGAAAAGCAGAAGGAAGAAGAAAACTTCATATTCCCTTATCCTTACCCCAAGACAGTGTCATCTTCTCCATATTGTTTTACACAGCTGAAATCATGTAGCACATACAGAGGCACGTCATAAATTCGCAGATGGAAAATGATACGAACAGAGAGATTTGACCGTATATGATACCTACCACTGGGTGGTTAAATTGTTTTTCCAGTTAAGAAATAAATCTCATCTCCCAAATCATTGAATCTGAGTTTTCTAAGATGAACAAAATCATCATTTAGATTATTTGGGGAGACATTTGGACATTCTGCCATGTCATGCATCTCTGCTTTTGCAGAGGAGGAAGGAGAGACTTTTGTGTAGTAATTTCTCCATATTGGGGTCCTGCTGTGAAAAAATTTAGCTGTTCTTAGCAAGTACTGGACCAGAACAGCCCCAGCAATTGTTTAAGCAATTGTCAGACGTGCATCTGAACAAGGTGAGAAAGATATTGCCAGAGAAGTATCTTAATCTCTTGTAACTTCTTCGAGCTCCTTAGAGCTGGATATTTTTTTCCCTAGGACTCTTCTCAGGGGAGCTCCCGGAGTGCACTCAGGAGCTGATGATTGACGTCACCAAGAGCTACTACCAGAAGTTTTTGCCCCTGACACAAGTCTAGCATCTCTGCCTCATATCTTGAATTTGCTTGAGCTCTAAAATGAATTTGGAGACAAAGTGAGCCAGTCAACACCTACAAAGAGCTCTTATGTCTTCAACATCTACCCTTCCTTCTTTTAAAACATTTCTTGAGAATTTCTCAATCCTCAAGGCTCTATGCTCTTTAGAATTTACTAATAGACCATCTGGAGGAGTTATCTTCAAATGCTATGCTTACACCTTATCTATGAACAGTCACTTTGTACCATTATCTGTGGAACACAGAATCATCTGTTCCCAACACTCCAGCCCGTTGGTCCTGTGAATGGCTGGATCCCGCCTGAAACGGACCTGCAGAGTAGCAGCACCCTTTCGGTTTGGAGGCTATGTAGCTGATGTGCTGCTCACAGGCATATGCTGCCCATGCTGAGCGCCTCTCACACAGGTAATGCCCAGCTTTTCTTCTGCTAACACAATTGGCCAGTTGTTGCAATTGCTCATAATCCTGGGAAAAGGTGTTTGTGACTTTTCAGAGCCTAGATTCCTGTTGGCTATTAAAACTTGAAGGGAGGGGTGACTAGTGTTTCTCTCTCTTCCCAAAATGACCTTAGCTGTCCTAGGGTAGTTAGTAAAAGACTTTTTAGCATTTTGACCTAGGACCTTTGGCTTTCACTAAACGTGGGGACCTCAGCATCCCAGACTGTACTTTTGCCAAGGGTTAGATATAAGTCTCTCATGTGGATGCATTAGTCAGGTGGTTACTTCTTGCCTCAAGGTTCTTATTTCACTGAAGATACTGCATTTGCGAACTCTTGCTCCCTGGCCTAGAACCATTCAGCCTACCCTGTATTTGTCAAAACTCCATAATTTACACCAAAATGTCTGTACTTAGAGGCCATTCACGTAATACATGAAGGGCTCTTAAAATCAGTTTGTGGGCACAGAGCCGCAGGAGTAAATGAAGTTGCTAGGGTTGTTCTTACCATCTCCTTCTGGCCAGTAGCACACCCTTCCTGGTACTGGTCTGACCTCGTAGCTTAGAAGGAAGATTTAGAGGTAAGGGGCTGAGAAGGTTGGCTTTGGTTAATACTCTGATCTGTAAGTGAGTAGGGCAGAACAGTTCAGCCTTCTAGGTTAGAATTTAGCAGGAGCTATCCTGACTTAATAGCCAGTTGTGGGGTTTGTGAAACAAAACAGCTGTATATAATAATTTCCACTAGTTCCATCTAGAACTCCTTTCTAGTTTGTCATTTTTTTTATAACTTCCTTTGTCATTTTTTTAATAAATACATAACTCAGAGAAGATGGAAGTTTATTTCTCTCTCCCCTAACAGTGCAGAGATAGTCAGCTGGTCCAGGCCAGGCAAGTGGCTGGTTCATGATATCATCAGGCACCCAGGTTCCTACTGTCTTGCCATGTGTCCACAGTTAGCAACAAGGTAGGCTCTACATTTAGTTTCTACTTGGGCAGCCAAAACTGTGGAAGGAGATTGTGCTAGTAAGGGAGTGGGGGAAGAATGGCCATTGGGAGACAATAAGCAGACACAGCCAGGCCTCTGTTGGCTTCCTTTCCTCCTGCTGCACGTGAGCCTTCTCTGTGTATTTGGGGCCATGACCACTGACAGGTCCAGACCTGCATCCTTCCATCTTGGGGGCCCTGAATGAAAGGCTTCTTCCCTTCCAGTTCTAATTTGTTTGTTAGTTCTCAGTGGTTTGTTAGTCCTATGTCCTCTTGGATCAGTCTCTGTGGCCATGCGTGTTTGGCCACATGATTAATCCAGTCTGAGTCATGACCTTTTCTCCATCCAAAATAAGGTGCTGGGAAGACAAAAACAATAGCTACTACAAACAACAGGAGTTTATAATTATGTGCTGATGTATTCAAAGATGTGTTGACAGTTGTGAGTCTGTATCCTAGGAAAGGCCAGCTGGAGTCTGTCTCCATGGTGGTTCTCACCCCAGGGACCTAGGCACAGTCTGTCACCACGCAATTACTTTTGTAACCCTAGAGAAGAAAATCTTGTCCTCAGAATACTTGCAGAAGAGCAACCAGAGGGGAAGGACCTTGATTGGGAGTCTTTCCAGTTTACTTGGGGCAGAGGGAATTTAATGGCTCATGTAGCTGAAAAGGCTGGGCTAGATTGGGCTTCAGGCTGCATCCCAGGACTCCAAACAGGGATCTGTCTCTTCGGCTCTCAGCTCTGCTTTCATTTGAGTTGGCTTTATTCTCGGGCTTCACGGTGTGGCCCCACAGCACCAGTTATTGATAAAAAGAGCTCCCCTTTGCTGACAGAACTGCTGGATTTGGTTCTCATTGGCCCAGACGAGGAAGGTATCCAGCCTAAAGTCATCATTGTGGCCAGGAAGATGGAATATGCTGAGTGGACAGGCCTGGCGTGTACCCACAGAGACAAAGAGTTGCTGCTGGTGGTTGTGGTGGCGATATTACCTGAAGAAGGGATGAATGGGTGCTGGGCAGGAAGAAGCATCAGCTGTCTAGTTCAGGCCTCTCCTCTTTTCCTAGTATCTTTACTTTCCTCCCTCTCCCTGCTGTCCCTTACCCTCTGGCTAGTCTCATTACTCCTGGTCTTGGGAGGTACCTTCTGAGGATACTCTGTGGGGTTACTTGAGCCTGGATTACAGGCAGAGGGAGGATGTTGCCTAGCCAAAGTGGGTGTTCAATAAAGAACCATTTGGAGATGGTCTTCTGTCTGGAACTGCTTCCTTTTTATTTTTTTCTCCCGATGAGCTGACTGGGCCATGGAACTGCTTCCTTATGGTCCCCCATAGCACCTTACAGAGGGGCCCTTGTCAATAGAGTTTTAGTTACCCACCTATGTTCTTGTCTGAGCCCTCACTAGCTGTGAGCTCCTGAGGAGTCAGGCCTGAGTCTGTGGGTCATCCAACACATCCTTAATAGAGTGACGGGATGTGACCACCCCCACCTCCCACCCTCACACACCCCACCAGCATGCCTCAGACCCTACTCCAGCGTCAGATAAGTCTCACGTTACAGGATCCCTGGTGCAGAGAACAAAGATAAATGATCGTCTTGTGAGCCTCCCATTGACTGATTCTGTTTTACATGGCTGCACAGAGCCCTTATGGTTGTTTGGGGTTGGTGGTGTCTTCTGTATTAGTCACTTCTGAATGAATCGGTTCCCTCAGGATCTGAGGCCACAGTTCCTTTCTTAGTTACTGACCCATCTGAATGCTGGCAGACTTGAAATTAATCAGACAGACATTGTTCCTAGTTAACATGTCCTTGGAAGCTTCTCAGCTATGAAGAAGAGGTCTTGGTGGCAGGGAGTCCTTTCACCGTTTCCTGTTCTGTCCAGTGAGAGCCCAGAGGGTGCTTCCCAGCCACGTTCTGGCTGGCCTCAGCTATTCTGAAAAAAATTGGCATCTGACAACCTGGATGGTTACTGTAGGTAGTCAAATTCAGCTGGCTGCTCTCCTGGGGGTTAGCTTCTGTGGAGCTGCAGGGTCCCTGAAATGATACTGGCAGTGTTGGGACAGCGTATCCAAAGGCCTGGTGTTTTCAGAACTGGTCTCAGTAAACTGTCGTGCCAGCTGCTATAGTTCCCATAAGTACATGATAACTGAAACACTTCTAGAGGCCCCCAGCAATGGGGTTGTGTTTTTTGTAGAATATGTATTTGCTGCCATTTAGGGGTAAGAAGGTGGGCCCCCCACCGTATGCTGCACAGAGAAAAGAGCACCATCACTCACTCATTTAACAGATGCTTTCTGAGCCACCACTGAGCACCAAGCACTTCCTAGGTCCTGGGGATTCAGTGGACACTAAGATAGGAGCCAGTTCTTGCCCATAGGTATCTCACAGCTTAGTGAGGGAGAAAGCCAAGGAATCAAACAAAATACAGAGAGTTCTTTGAAGAGGGTTTGAGGGGCCCATTTTGAGAGCCATCAGTGATGAGGAGTGAGTGCTAGAGTTAGGGTGATCAAATCCCAGCCTGCTATTGCCTAGCCTTGTGACTTTGAGCAAGTTATCTTCATGGAACCTCAGGTTTCTCATACATAAAACGGGGAGGTTGGATAGGGTTATTATGAGGATTGAAATGCATTAATATATATAAAGCATAAGTACTGGCTCAAGGTCAGCACTCAATAAATGGTAGTTATACCTACTTTTATTAGGAAGTGATGCACCTTGAGCAAAACCCCTTAGAGTATAAGGCATAGCAATCTTACATATTTTAAAAATTTTAAATAAAAACATCTTGGCCTTTATAATTAGTCCACCACAAAGAAGAGATGGAGAAATCACCCTTCCTTGTTTTGTATCTATGAGATGCAAACATTTAAATCCTCCCAGCTGTCAAAAAAGGGATTTTCACAGCCTATATTACAGCAGAGGAAACTGCTATTCAAAGAAGTTAAGTAAATTTGCCCCATAGTCACACATCTAATAAACGGATGAGCTATAATCAAGACAAGCCCTTACTTGGCTGCAAAGTCCATGTTTTATGCAGTTCCTCCTATATCTTGGCCTCCAAGGCAGCTGGCTCTGAACACTAACCTTGCAGCCCACTCAGCCAATCCCGTTCTCTCCTGAAGTTTTTGCTGGCGAGCTGGCCCCACCCGCTTTCCATGTGTACTCTGACTTGGACCCTGAAGTGAGAAGAGCTGGCACAGGACATCTTGCTCCCCTGAAAACAGTACCTGGACTTTTCTGTATCTTCACATCCATTGAGCATTGGGCCAGTGGGTCATGCAGATGAAAATCATCCAAGAAAAGAGAACACAGGAATGAAATTCACACCCTTTCTGGCTTTCAGACCGTGGGTCTGACCACTAGCCCGTGGTGTTTCTTGGCTGTACCGACCTGCGCCTTTTCAGCTGCATTCATCTCAATTGGTGGTGTCTGCTGGCTGCTCTTTCTGATATCCCACAGGAGCAGTAAGAGCCTAAGGAAGAGTAGGGTCAGAGGAGTCAAGGAGAATGAGGAAATGAGAGAGCCCCAGGCATTGGAAAGGACTGTCAGAGACCCTGAGCTTTCTGGGAACTGGTACAGGTTCTTTTTATTTCAATAACAACAGCCACAACTGTCAAAACCGTATGCCTGTACTATTTGGAGTGCTGTCCTTGCAGAATCTCTTTACAAGAACCTTAGGAAATAGGCACATCATCTCCTGAATAGAATCCTAGGAAATGGGCACTATAGTGGGCACTTTATCCCCATTTTATAGACATGGAAATTGAGGCCCAGAGAAGTTAAGTACTTTCCCAAGGTCATACAGCTAGTAAGGGAGGAATTCTTTAGTCTGTGAGCTTAACGGATAGATCATACTGCATTTTGTTATGGAAGAAGCAAGCAAGTGAACAAATGAGTCTGGGATTTAGGGCTCGCCAGACAAGGCCCCAGACTTGGGTTGGAATTCTAGTTTTGCCACCTGCTGGCTATAAACCTTGGGTAAGTAACCCAAGGTAAATGAGATCATCTTTGTAAAACTCCTAGCCCTGTGCCATGCACATAGTAAATGCTCAATAAGGGTTCACTGTTAGTATTATTGTTACTGATAACATACAAATGTATTAACTGCCGTAATTGCAACTGTATAAAACAGATTCCATGTTGACAAGGACTAGAAGGGAATATGAGAACATGGAAACAGCTATGAAAGGAGATAAGATAATTAGGTGCATTTTCTTCAATATATTTTTAACTTTCTTTTGTTTATTTTTTATTTTATATATATTTTCTTTTTTTCACTCAGCTAATTTTTAAGTAGACAGCTTCATATTTGTTTATTTTTTAAATAGAGACCGGGTTTTACCATGTTGCCCAGACTAGTCTTGAACTCCTGGGCTCAAGCCATCTTGGCCTCCCAAAGTGCTGGGATCACAGGCATAAATCATTGTGCCCCGCCGTTTTTTAGTAAATGTTTCTAATCAAACAAGTAAAACCATATATGCAGTGGGTGCTCAGCAGGCCTTGAGTGTGTGAATGAAAACTATTCTAACTTGTTTTTATTGGTTGATTTAATTGCTTTAAAACCATACCTTAGCTGGGCACAGTGGCATGCGCCTGTAGTCACAGCTACTCATCTCTTAAAAGTTTTATGCTTGTTAATTTCATAAATGCTAGATGGATCACCCCAATCAAAGAAAGCTACTCAAAAATAAAATATGAAAGGTGTTAGTGGGGTACAGCTTACTAGCTTTTTGCCACTAGTGGATAGGTTGGAATTTAAATTCTTCAGATATTGGAACCATAACAATTCTGTAACTGATGATTTTTGCTATGATTGGTGCCTATTGGAGCCTCTGGAAAGAGGAAGACAACATGGAAAGAGAAGCAATCTCTGTTTGGAACATGAAAGTACAGTTAAATTGCTAATGAGCCCTTGCCAAAATCAAATCTCTACCCGTAGAAGCTGATGATTGTCTAATCTAATATGCATTTTTTGAGTGGGTCAGTTGGACTCTAAGACCAACAGGATAAAAAGGCAGCCTTGCGTGTCACTTGGACTTGGATCACAGCTGTCTGGCCACACAGCATGCCTTCACTGCTGCTGAAGAAAAGCAGCTGGCTTATTGGAATCTCAAATTCACAGATCCTAATTGCCTGTCCCTGACTCTAAGCTGAAACCTGCTACTGTCTGCCATGAACTGTTTCAGCCTCAACCAATATAAGCTATGCTGAATTGAAAGCAGACACAGGCTTAATGGCCAGGACTCAGACGTTGGGGCCGTTGGAGATTCAGGACCCTCTCTGTGGTACACTAAACTAGGAAACCATCCTGGAACCTGACTGAAAAGGGCTTATTCTTTAATGGGACCATCTAAGATCAAGCTGCTCGTAGGCTGTTTGTCTCTAATACAGGCTAATTGCATTCCTAACTTCTGATCTTTGCCAAAAGCTGCAGGCTGGAAAAGGGCACATCACAAGGATTGTAACCTCTCCTGCTTTTGACAGACCAGACTCGAACCTTCTCTGGGGCTTCTCTGCTGTTGACTTGTTGCATTCAGCTTTTGGGATTAGTTGCACTTGCAGCAGTAGACTGGCAGCCTGACTCTACTTCCTTCACTTTTCTCCCAGCACACACAGCTTAGTAAAGTAGGTGGATTATTAAAATGTAGCTGTCCCCAGAAAGGTATTAGACTTTTCTAGGTTGCTCATTGAATAATCAGGACAAAAGGGTTAGAAGATTATGTAAACACATTTTGAAATTTTTAAAAATTCAGGGTTTCATCCTTTATTAGTTTGCTAAGGATACCATAAAGTACCACAAACTGAATGACTTACACAATAGAAACTTATTTTCCTATAGTTCTGGAGGCTAAAAAGTCCAAGACAAGGTGTCGACAGGTTTGGTTTCTTCTGAGACCTCTCTGCTTGGCTTGCAGATGGCTGCCTTCTTACTCTGTCCTCACATGGTCCCTCTGTCTGTGTATCTGTGTCCTAATCTCTTCTTTCAATAAGGATACCAGTCACATTGGATTAGGGCCCATCCTAACAATCCCATTTTAACTTAGTTACTTCTTTAGGGCCTATCTTCAAATATACTCACATTCTGAGGTACAGGTGGTTAGGACTTAGCATGAATTTTTATGAGGACATAGTTCAACCCTAAACATATTATTACCAATTTCTGAATGTGTCTTTCTAGTTAAGTTGCATAAAAACATTTATCTACTTGAACTCTAGCATGGTGGTAAAAAAAAAAAAAAATGTTGGCCAGGCACAAGTGAT